TAATGTAATGTAGGTGTTATTTACTGTCAATTGTTATACTTTTTGTACAGTGGTAGTTTGTCATAAAAAGTCACAGTATGTGCACTCTTCCTGTGCAGCCCTGAATCATATGCAGGCTCCCCAAAATGGCACTTTGTCATCAATACTTTAAAAACCTCTTATCGTGGATTTTTGTTTATTTGTTCCAATGCTCTAAAGTGGTCAGTTTGGCTGTTAAGTTTCTGAAAAAAATCTCCTGGGAAGAGTTTCCCGGGGACACCTGTGGAGGGTTGGGTCGCAGAAGGTGTCAATTGAAAACACAGACTATATAGCTACAGTGACATCACCCATTGGTTTGTGAACTTCCTTTTTGAAGCCTCAAGTTCAGCATTTCAGCTGTCGCCATCTTGGTTTTTTGGCACCAAAAGTGACTATATTTGGACAAGAGGGTGGAGCTGTGTAGGAGCAAGGGGTGAGTTTGAATCGCAGACTGTATTAATGTCTTGCAGACAGCCTGTCGCTCAACTGTCCCCGCCCATAATTATGTGTATAGTTTCAACAAGGTTTTGGTCCGGTTGTTTTGATGCACACCCGAGTACGATTGCTGTGTTCACACCTGCCCAAACGAACCACACTTAGGGGGCAGACCAACTTGAGTTTGATTTAACTGAACCAAACAGGGCACTTTTGGCACTTCATCTTGGTTTCATTTTTCAAGTAAGTTGCCACTTATTTAACACCACCAGTGTTAAATAGATGATTATGGCCCTGCCTGGGAACCAGATGAATCTGTGAGCTCATGTTTCATTTGCCCTGACAGTTGCATCTGGTCTCTGTTTCATTCAAACAGACTTCACCCAACACAACCATTTATCTAATAATGGGCGAGTTATAAGACACTCTGCACAGACACAGTATGAAATTCTCATTGTATTTCTGCAATACTCTGCCTGTGAGTGTATGCAAAGACTTCAATACTCACTAAATCTCAGATATAATGATGCTACACCAGTAAAGTTCATCTCTGCATCTCTGCAGTGTGTTAACATTGGTCAGTGGCTCCAGATATGTTGTGATGCTCTGATTGGTTGTAGATTTAACGATCTGCAGCAGTAGATCACGCCCCTTAGAAATCGAAAGTAGACTTAAAGGTTGGCAGCATGGCTGTAACATGTGGGGAAGCTGCTGCTAAGAAATGTAATCGCAGCAAAGACATCTTATATACCGTCGTATAATACACATAATAACTGCATAATAACACCTGTAATAAATGCTACAGGTCATCTTTAACCAGAGTTTCCACATTCAGGGCCGGCACGGAAATCTCAGCTTTCAGCTCTGACATAACAGAAGTACTTACAGGGGTGACAGAAAACTGTAAAAACATCCACGTGATGTCCAGAGCAGCGATGAGGTACACGATGTAAATGATTTTCGTCCTCTTCTGTTGGTCTGTAACGTTAGCTTGAGGTGAAACTGAAGCTGTAGGGGGTTCCTCGGTCGCTTCTCCTTTTGCACTCATTTTGCTTCTTGAAGAAAACACACGTAACAGTAACGTTGATGTTACAGCAGAGAGTTAAACTGACATCTGTGAGTAACAAACTGCGGAAGGATCAAGTCAGATCAGTCCACTTTCACCCGGTGAACTCTCACCACATTATGAAGCTAGCTAGTCTACGTTATCTGTACTTTGGAACCGCAGACACTCGACATGGAGGCGTTACCGAGGTACCGTGGTTATGAAAACGATCATCCAATTGTTGGATAAGGCAACATCCACCGAAAAACAGCTGGACTTCTTCTTGATTTCAAGCCCTGTCTAAAAATACTGCACCGTAAATACGAACCGAGCGAACTTAAACGTCTCTTAAATAAAGTCTGACCGGGAATGTGGAAGTGTTTTTTACAGTGATGCGTTCAGGAACGCCGACTAAAATCGTACTTTGAAGCTTTGCACAGTCCTGCCCATGAGTCCGCACTGGCTCGTAATAATGGTTTTTGGTTTAAAGACGTTTTTAAATCTCTTACAACACCAGAGATGAAACTATTCCATAACAAGTTCACCATTCAGATCTTTTACCTGAGTAACATTACCACACATTAATAGTTTTACAAAAATGCAATGTAATAAATAGTATATTTAGTTAAAGTGTCAAAATTAAAAGTAGGCCACCCATTCTGCAGCACAATGGCCTGTGACTATGTTATGTTATATTGTTATGTATGGTAAAATTGGATTATTATAACTGATACATTAAAGGAATACTTCACCCACAAAATGTTTGACAGTTTATATGTCAGTTAGTCGTGTCCTGTTACCTTGAATTCCTGAATACATTTCTCACATGCCTTCACAGAAAACAGCAAACATATTAATTTTTTTAATTGACAGGGGACCACCTTTAACAACAGCAAAACTATGCTGTATCAAAACATGCATTTATAAACTCTCACACAACTCCTGCAGTGAAATCAAAGTTTTATTTATCCAGTCATATGCTCAGTACTTCCCAAACACAGAAAACCTTATTATTTAAAACTGAACTGTAGTGAAACTTATTTGTGCTCTCTTCAAAGCTGGAGTCCAATACCAAGTGTTTATAGCAGAAATGCATGTGTCTGAGAAGTATTGACATATCCTGGATAAATGAGACTTTGGTGTTGTTGTGAGAGTTTGTAAACAGGTGTTTTGATTAAGGATAGACCGATACATCGGCCGGCTGATATATCGGGCCGATATTTGAGTTTTTTACTTGTATCGGCATCGGCTGATACGCGCGTGGGTTCGCGGATTTATTTTTCCCTGGCACTTTTTTTCATTTGAAAGTATGTGGTTAAGTTGAACAAAGCTGTTGAATCCTACTGTGTACAGTAGTTGTTGTTTTATTTATGCTTCAGCTTAAATATTTGTTTATTTTATAAAGACACTACTGGAAGATTTAAGAGCACTGAACTCTTTTTTTTATTTGAATGTATAATAATAATAATAATAATAATAATAATCTACCTGTTCTACCTCAACTTTCCATCTTTTTTTAGTATTTTTTACTGTTCAATAAATGTTTCTTATTTTAAACTTGAGACCTGTAATATTTGTTATCATTGTGTCATTTTTTTGATGTAAATTGAGGGAGCAAAAGCATTATCGGCCCCAAATATCGGCTCAAGAAAATCGGCAGTCCATAATCGGTCATCGGCTAAGGGTGATGGAAAAAAATCGGTATTGGCATTGGCCCTAAAAAATCCATATTGGTCTATCCCTAGTTTTGAGATTGTTTTACTGTTGATAAACGTGCATGGTCCCCAGTCAGTCGGTAAATCAATATGTTTCCCGTCTTCCACGGAGACATGCAAACAAAACAAAGGCTTCTTCAAATATTCAAGGTATCATGGCATGACTAATTGATTTACAAATGGTAACCGTGGGGGAATTCCTTTGACATGTAAACTGAATTTTTGCCAACATTGATTTAATTCTGCAGTGTTGCATGTTTTTTGCCTTCATGTGATTAGAATGTTGATCCTTTTGACTGGAGTAAAGGCTCTGTATCATTAGTGAAATCTATAAACAGAAATTATTGTCTATACTGTCCTTAATAGCCTAAATATGGTCTTATTTCTCTGAGTAATGAATGTGTTTTCCTGTTGTAAGACCCCATTTTTTAATTATCAATGTCTTGACATAACTTAAACCAACAACATGAATGCATTTTAGCAGTGGTATGAATACTAATGTAGGAAGTATTTTTATTGTGAATAATGTGACAATTAAACCTCCTCAAGCATGAGAAACAATCTGAGACTGAGAACATTAGATATGAGGATGTTTGCTTTGGAGTTAAGTTGTGCAGGGGATTTTAAAGGCCCAGTGTGTGGGATTTATGGGCATCTATTGGCAGAAATGGCATATAATAGTTCTAACTATGTCAGTGTAGGCTATATTCACCTGAAAATAAGAACAGTTGTGTTTCTGGAGTCCAAGATACTGCCATGTTGCTCTACAGTAGCCCAGAATGGACAAACAAAAAACTGGCTCAAGATAGGGCTCCTACATGTTTGGAGAACTTTCGGTTCTGCAACCTCACCACTAGATGTCAGTAGATCATACACACTGGACCTTTAAAAGTTGATATCGTCTTCTGAGGAGGATTAGGGCCACATGTGAAACATCTGCTGGAGTTCAAAGTCTAAAGTCAGAGAATTCTGATATATTCTGTATATATATTTTGAGGGAAGTCTAAGATATAGGTTCATCTAAGGAAGCTGTCAGTTTCTTTTCACAATTGCTTTTACATTGTGTTTTTCATTATTTGTAAATATTACTTTCTTCCTGTCTGTCTGCTTGTTTGTTTGTTCATGTCTTTTTTTAATGTTCGAAATAAATATAAAATATTAATATTTATTTGACTAACCTTTTTTATAAAGCAAAAAAAAAAAAAAAAAATCAGCATATAAGACACAACAAATTATTTTTACAAGCAGCATATTTTATATGTCTTTTAAAATGTTTTGTGGGGGGATATATCAGAGAATTCAGATATATTCTGTATATTTATAAAAGTCTAAAGTACAGGTTTATCTGTATAAGGAAGCTGTCTGTTTCTTAATGACATATGGAGAAGGGGTGGGATTCAATAAGTTTAAACTTCCTCCCACTCCTTTTCAGATGTGTAAATCAAGATAACTGAAAATTGCTTTGATATTAGGCTTTTCATTTTTTGTAAATATTGCTTTCTTTCTGTCTGTCTGCTTGTTTATATGTTCGAAATAAACATCAAATATCAATTTCAATATTTTTTTGTTAAAAATAAAATCAGCATATTAGGCGCAAATTATTATGACAAGCAACATATTTTTAAATGTCTTTTAAAATGTTTGGAGGATGTCTCAACAATAAAAAAAATATATATTAAAAAGTTTTGAGACTTTTATTTTGAAGCTGTCCAACTGGTGCTTCAGGATGTTTATTTTGAAGTCCGTTAGCGCCCTCCTCCCGGAAGTTCGCTCCATCATCTGGTGTGATATCCTCCACTGTGTGTGGGGGGGATGGCAGCCTGCCAGATGACGGTTTCAGTGCATCAGTTAGAGTCAAATCTTCCTCTTTCCTATAGCATGTAGTTGTCAGAAAACACCGAGACACGATGCAGATCCTCACCCCGCATGTTTACTGGGCTCAGCGGCATGGAGAGATCTATCTCCGGGTGGAATTGAGCGATGCAAAGGTAGGAACAAGTCAGTCCACTACATCCACCCGGCTCCTGTCAGCTTTAACTCACACTTACCTGTCCTTTACTGCTCAACTAACGTTAATGTGTCTGAATGCCTCTAAACTTTATTAAAATCATGCTAGCGATGTAACGTTAGCTAATGTTTAGCTTGAACGGTTAGCATAACCGTTAGCTAGCTTCAGTGATGGTGTTCAGTGAGAGGATATCTAAACTGACCTCTAACGGTTAACGGTTAGCTTATGTGTGATGGTCAGAGGATAACTAATAATATGACAATAATACACTGTTGTACCGTGTTTATAAAAGTTTCACGATATTTTGCTGACGAAATAACATTATAGCAATGGTTATATAACGCTGGCGTGTCGAAGTTCGGTGTCGAAATTAACACTTTAATTTAAACACTACTAACTGCCATTGACATCTTAATTACTGGACAGTTACAGCTGAAAAAATGGCAGCTGTAGTTTAACTTCCTTGTGTTGTAGCTGCACCCCACACTAGCTATAACTACTTAAACAAATACTGTGATATGATTATCAGCAAGAAGTCCTCAAGATAACAAACCCAGCTTAATAGAAAGGTAGACAAGGTGTTAATGATTTGTGTCAGCTGGTCAAAACCCTGTATTAAGAATGATCTTAGCTGGTTTGGGTGGGTTACATCTTTACCTAAACACTTAGCCTGTCTCAGATTACTTTAATTTCACTCTGCTGTCTGTGTTTGCATTAGTAACATGAAATACAGGTTCTCCTCCTCCTCCATCCACGTCCTGCATCTGTTTTACAAATGTCTTATAAAAGATGCATGACCTTTAATGGTTGTTCTGGATCTTGTTAAGCCTCTTAGGAGAATGGCTTTATGACAGCTGAAGCAGGCTGACAGAAGAACACCTGTCATGCTACACGTTTAAAGCCTATTTATCCACAAGGAAAGACTAAATGTAGGAAACTTGTGTATAATATATAAGTATAATATATATAGTATAATGCAATACAGTTAATCAGCATCACATTACAGTCTCTAAAATTCCCATAAAGATGAATCAACACCTTCTAACTTTAACTTTAACTTTACATTTACCTAGAAGTGTCTAATACATTTACATCTCATTTTAAAGGATAAGTATGGTGATATTCTGCCTTTTTCTGGGCCAAAAGCAACAATGCCAAAGCTCATTTGTGCCAGAGAGCTCAATTTTTGTCCAAAAACTCACATGTACCATCCTGCTGTGTGTTTCTCCCTAAAGCACCAAATGTGAATTATTCTGCTGCTGGAAATAGACTGCAACAAATGCACTATTTACTCCAATTGTTATTTACTCCAAACACTTCTTATCTTGTATATTTGTATTTTTTGCCAATATTAAATACTCTATTGTTGTAAAACTGGACCTAATGATGGACTCTGACCTGGGAATCTTCTGGTTGTTCTGGTTGTTACCGGTTGTAAACGTTAAAATGTGGTTACTGTACTTGGTGTTATTGTATTTTAAAGCATTCTCTGGCACGTGAATTTTTTTTTAAATTTTTTTTTTAACCTCGGGATAAATGAAGTTCTATTGAATTAATTTTGCGTAACATTTGCTAAGAGCTACCTGTTCGGCTGTTTTAGAAAACTACTCCGCTTTTATTTTAACAAATTGAACTATATAGTTTGTGGCCTATTTTTAAAGATGTATGTCTTCAGTAGGAAGCAATGGGCTGAGGTTGAGTAAAACAGACAGAAAAAGAAGGTCTATAAGTACTGAAAGACTAATACATGGTTCATTTCATTTGCAGTAAGACAAATATAGAATATCACCAGACTTGTCAAGTTAGTTGTGGACATAGGTGTAGAATAACATTTAAATCATGTGTGTTTGTCCCCCCTATTAGAAATAATTAAAGACAGTTATGCCATAAATTGAGGCATAAAATCCTCCAGAATGCAGGAAATTAAGTGTTTTGATGCTGAGAATTTTCTGGTGGAGGACCCCTAAGCCCTCTTTTCTATATATGTCCCTCCCACAATGTTGAAAAGAAACCTATGTCCTTGGTTGTGAAGGCTGCCCTTGTGTCTTTCAGGATCTCGACATCAGCCTGCAAGAAAACAACACACTTCAGTTCAGAGGTTGGTATTTATTTTGATGCATGTAAAGAGGAACATAATGTTTATAAGAACCCTTTAAGAGAAGTTGCTCTGTCGCAAAATAACAACTTTACTTACAGTAAAACGTTGTAAAATTTTCCACGAACATTTGCATCATTCATGAGGTTATTTATGATTGCAGTTTCTATATAAAGCAATACGAAGCTTAATATTGTTAGAATATATATAAGTGTAATGTTAATATTGCTCCACAGCACAGGGCCATGGAGCTAAAGGAGATAATGAATACGTGTTCAGTCTGGAGTTCCTGGAACCTGTCAGACCTGAGGTAATGATCTTTTATTAATCTGTTACTAATTAGTGGTGAAATCGATTGTAATGTTGACATGAATTGTTTTTGCATCATGGTAATATAATTTAAATTAAATGCTAGAGTGCAGAAGGGCAGTTATGGATTGTAGTTACTGTCTTACAGTGTCTGGTATTAACTATTTTGCTGCACTTGTAGTTGTACTTTCTGTCTTTTAGTGGTGTCATGTGGTAAGATGGGTGTAAATGTCAGACCCTGCCAAGAAGCAGATGTATGTGTAGTCAGCTCCCACCTTCGAGCATTTCTTACATGTAACTGAATATAAATATTTAAAACAAAATAATAGCATTTAACTAAAAATGCAGTTAAGACCTTCCAGATTCTTTGTCTAGTTTTAACATTGTTACAATACAAACCTTTTTGCACATAGCCCGATTCTTATGATTTTCTCTTGTTGTTCAGATGTAAAATCCACAGTTTTTTATCATAACTGAACATGAATGACTGCACGATAATGCGTCATGGCACTGATTGAGCTGAAATTGCTGCCAACAAGTCAAGGTGAACGCTGATTGAAAAATGCCTCCCTGCTGAAGAGAGGCTTGATTAGCTGGTACACCACAGCCCGGGATACACACTTTATGATCAGTGAATTTATGTCTCAGTCAGACAAAGAGCTGCAGCTTTTTATTCCACTGACTCGTCTAAAATCCATTTGTCCTTTAACTGTCCAAGGTTAGTGAGCGTCAGTAGCAGATCAAATGTACTCACATTATGAGTCACAGCCTTTTTGTATTAAAGATTCAGATGTACAAACTATGTTCGTACTGCAGCTACTCACATTATGTCATTGCCCTCTGTGTCTCAGTGAAGAACAATATTCTGATGCCGTGTTTTCGTGTTTTCAGATCAAACATAAGTCCACCCAGCGTCAGGTGGACATCAAGATCAGGAAGCAGGAGGAGCGCTGGTGGGACCGGCTGACACTGCAGGAGAAGAAGCCTCTGTTTTTGGCGCCTGACTTTGACCGCTGGCTGGACGAGTCCGATGCCGAGATGGAGCTTCAGGCTAAGGTAGGAACTTGAAAACAAATGTAATAAAGTAAGTCCAAACTGAAGAGAGAGTAAAATGTTGTCTATCGTGAATAAGGCTTTTGACTGCCAACGCAAACCTGGCATGAGTCAGATGTGAAGGCAACAAAATGTAGGCTTTGTGAGTGCAAACAAGTTTTATGGGATTTGTTAGAGTGTCAGTTAGATAGTTAGTGCAGCTAAGGAAAAACAGAGGCCTCATTGAAGCTTTGTATTTAGCTCCAGCTCAGCTCTTCAGCCTTACAAAGCCAGTCCATAAAACTTTGCATCACTCATTGTGGTCTGTAATATCAGATAAGCCTCCTGACAGCTCTCTTCTTTGTGTCATGGTAACCCTTCCTAAACATGACTCAATGAAGCTACCTTCCACTCAGCTGTAAGAAAACCATAGGGACAATTATGGAATTGCTGTGTCAGTTTTCCCAAATGATTGTTTTCATTTTCCATTTGCCTCCTAAGAATTTCTTGATTAAATTACAAAAGAATCCCTGTCTGTTCAATGCTGCAAACTCATTCTTTTGGTCATTTTGCTCCACTGTAGACGCTTCGATTTTCATTTATTTCCCAGGTCCTTTCTGTGCTTTTCAGCTTCAAGTTAACGGTCAGTTAAGAAATGTGTAGCTGTCCGCACTGTGTGGAAACTGCAGCAGGCTGTGAATATTTATTAATGAATTTAGAAACTGTCTTTTATTAGAAAATGTATTTCTGATAAAACAGTGAGTAACACTTTTCTGACTCGTGACTTTTTAAATCATAGAATTAAATAAATTGTTCAACTGCCCTGGATCTAGTGAGAAGATTGAAAGATCATAATTCATTTTCTTCATTATAAAACAGGTGATGATTGAAGAACATGTTGGTTTTTGCAGAGTGAAATTGGTGTGATTGATGATGTGATTTCTTTCAGGAGGAGGAGAAGATCAACAAGATAAGTGTGGAGTCGAGAGTTCGTAAAGACCGTGAGTCACACTGAGCTCTTCATCTGCAAACATCAAAAACCCACATAATGAGCTGAATCATTAATGTTGTCATGTACATTTACTCGCCTGTAGGAGGAGATTCAGCCACGTTAGCATCAGTTAACATTAATTTATATTCTTCTGCTCCTTAGCTTACCTCGGGCTGAAGAAAGGCTACTTGTTTATGTACAACCTGGTGCAGTTTTTGGGATTCTCCTGGATCTTTGTCAACATGACGGTTCGACTCTTCATCCTTGGTCAAGGTTTGTAAAGACAAACCCCAAAAAACAACACGGTCAGTTCATGAAGTGAGGTTTATGTCCAGGTCATCTGCCACAGGAAGGCACAGTTACCTGCAGAGAATTATTTTGCGTCATGTTAGTCACAGGTTTATTGAGATTTGTGTTCTGAGGTCTGTTGCTTAAACAAAACCAAGTCTACATTAGTTCTCCTCTTACTGACAATGATTTGGTCTTGAATGTGCCAACAGTTTTTCTTTTGCTAAAACCAAAGTGTCATCAGTGAGGTAAAGATTGGACCGTTGGATCCGCAGTACAGTCATTTGGTTATACGTATGTATATTTTTAGAAATTAGACAAGTATTTTTGTCTGCACTGGAGTTGTGACAGTTCAGTGGCCTTTGATTTTAGTTCTAGTTCATGACAGCTTCAGTCTTATTTTTGTAGTTTCGGCTGTATTATCGAAGAGCCATGAAAGCTCTGAACAATTGTTGAGTTCTGGAAACACATAAACATCACCACAACTAAGTCAGAAGGGGCAGGAAACACATATTATTTGCTAAACCACTTTCTTGTGAGGTAAACTGTAAAGTGAGCTCCTCTGAAATGTAACAACCCTTCACTGCAAAGAAAAACTGTGAGCTCACAACTACAGTACAGGAAGTCCGTTTGAATTCTGTGATGTTTATCGATGTTTACAACAGACAGTTTGGGTCATAATTTTACTATTCACGTGTTTGCTCTTCCAAATAAGTTTGACTTACCCGCTATTTTGTTTACAACCTTTCCTTTTATCTGACCTATTTTTATTAATGTCTCCATGTTCCTCAAGTTCAGCTGTTAACTTTGTGCGTGCAGAGTTATCATAACTAAGAGAACAGATGGCCAAAACTATAAAAATAAGATTCATAGTAATGACTCAGTCCTCACTTTGAATCCCATTTTTAGCTATTCCTTTAAATGATTATTAGTTTGGTTTTTTTGGGTTTTAGTCTGACCTACAAATTGTGTATACGCAACATTACTGCCAGCTATTTTCAAAAATATCGTGAACGTTTTAGGACAGATTTCTCTATTTTTGGTTAATGTCAGTATGTTGTAATAATCTACTTGCAGGGACATAAAACCTGATTGGGATAGGTTTCTATCTATCACTGTAAAAGTGAAAACGAGGACACTCAATGTTAGTAAAGGCAGAATTGTCGGACTGTAAAAGGATGGAAGATAAAAACAGAAAAAAACACTCGATAATAGCTTTTAAATTTTATGGACTGATAAATTAATATATAAAATAATTAGCAGTGTTTACTGAACACAGAAACAGACGGGCATAATTAGCACCACTGTGCAGTAAATAAAAAACAAACAGGAGGTCCAGGAGACAGACAGAGAGAGGTCTGTGTTTTTGTTTGTGAGCAGCTATTCACAGATGAGCTCATTTGAATAGAAACAGGAAGACTACACAGCAGGGATTTGTTTTGCAAATGATGAGGATTATGGATAGTGGCTCATGCAATGTGCTTTTTAATTAAGTCTGTTTGTTTCTCTCGCCCTCCACAGATTCGTTCTATGATACCTTCCACACCACGGCTGACATGATGTATTTCTGTCAGATGATGGCCGTGCTCGAGGTCATTAATCCCCTGTTGGGTCTGGTGAAGACTGGATTCTTTCCTGCTATGATACAGGTAATACAGTGCTGTAAATATTAAACGCATGAAAGAAAAGAGTAGTTACACCTACGACCGAAAGTATATGGACACCCTGACATTACATCCATATGATATTTAAACATCTTTTTGGTATATTACACAAATCATTTTTGGAAGTGCTCTAAAATGAGGAATGTTTTAAGTGGGAAAAAAAACTCTTCCTCCACCAGGCTCTGAACTGAACTTCAAAATCAATCAGTTGTGCGCAGTTCCTCACAGTGTGGTTAATCTGAGACCTCTTTTCATTCTGCTCGGTGATGTCACAGGTGGCAGGGAGGAATGTCATTCTTTTCGTCATCTTCGGCAGTATGGAAGACATGCAGAACAAAGCTGTTGTCTTCTTCGTCTTCTACACATGGAGCACCATCGAGATCTTCAGGTCGGCTCAGATCACCTTCCCTCCCCTCTCTGGTTAACATGTGGTGTTGCCTGCTATAACATCAGCTGTTCCTTCTCCCCATCAGGTACCCTTTCTACATGCTGGCCTGCATAAACACAGAGTGGAAGATGTTAACGTGGCTGAGATACAGCATCTGGATCCCTCTGTACCCTCTCGGGACTGTGGCTGAAGGTCAGTGTCTAGTTTGTTATGCTTACTGAGAAAATAGTGGCATAAGCAAAAGGGTGCAAGGGTAAGTGTTAGATATGTTAGTTGCTGCTGACAGTTTGTCCTTGTGTGCATGTTTCCAGCGGTGGCCGTCATCCAGTCCCTGCCCATCTTTGATGAGACGCGTCTGTTCAGCCTCCCCCTCCCTGCGATGCTGGGACACTCTTTGAGCTTCTCCTACACTCTGCAGCTCTACCTGGTCCTCATGTTTCTGGGTGAGACATCTACTGACACACTATCTGTCCTTCAGTAAACTACAACTAATGTCTCATTTCCATTGCTTGGTACAGCTCGACTCATTTCAGCTCACTTTTTGTACCAGGTACTTTCTCTGTTTCCTTTTTTCACTGTGGATAGTACCCCCTCAGTGGAGACAGGGTTCTCTGCTGATTGCCATAGCGATGCTGTGTCAAACTGTTGTGACATCAACTTCAGTGCAACACTCACTGCATCCTTTCATATTGCAACCAAACAGGAATGTCTGCACTTCATCAGTTGTGCAGCATTGTTAATGTAGTGCACAGCGTGGTTTTGTGGGCTGCCATTTTTAAAAGCTTGGTCAAATGAAAAAAAAAATTGCGGTCGCTATTAAAGTTAGCGTGGCTATTTTAAAATGGTGGGTTTGCAGTGTTTTAACTCCACCTTCTAGTGTCAGTTCAGCTTGCTTGGAACTTCGACCAAGGTGCTACCAAAAAAGTACTATCCATAACTCTTGCTAATGTAAAAAACAATAAAAAAAATAAGTTGAGTAGAGCCGTGTATACCATTCGGGGGAAATGCTGTGTAACATTACACAGGGTTTTGGAAAAATAAATAAACCCAGAAAGTTATGGAAAAGTCATTGAAACTGGCTTCACAAATACCTGTATAATAGAGTATATATACTGCATACAGGCTACGATGATAATGTTCAGACAGGTCAGTCATATCACTTGACGTTATGTTCTCTGCCGGGGGTGACGTCAGACTGCGACCTGAGTTGTAGCTTCTACTTGAGTCCAAATGCAAATTTGCGTAATGCAAGGAAGCAGATGTATTCATGTCTGGCTTCATTTGGACAAGTGTAAAGCATGGCATGACAAAGACCAGGACCTGGGACATGCAAAATGTGGACTGTGTAGTGAAATATTTGACATTATGAACATTATGCTAAAGGAGCTAATGTTAAGTACCAGGCTGTTGCTGCGCAAATCAACTCCCATTACAGATGTTTTTACCGCGGTGACCAACATGACACCCACAACCAGCTGCAGTGCTTCCCTCTGGTCCACCATCAAACAAGGGATCATTTTGGTTGCTGTGTATGAACCTAAGCCCTAACTGCAGAGGTACTAAAGGGGGCTAATTCTCACTTAAGTTATTTCCACAAAACGTGAAGACACAAGGCAGTTTTCTTAGGTCAGGGTCATAATTACCAGATTTGTGTGCAGTGAACACAAGTGCTCATATACAGTGTATGTACTTTTGGGCTGGCTCTTTATTTTACAAAACTGACTGGTCAACTTTGACAATACACAGACACTTCAGAGAATGTGTGATCAAGAATATAAGGCTGAAAAGTATGGAAATGTTTTGGAAATTTACTGGTTAAAGTGTGTATGAACCCTGCAGGGAGATTCAGGCACTGGTAATATGGAGGGTAGATTAATTACACATATTACCCACATTGTTATGATGCAAAGCTGGTTGAAAATGGACAGAATGTCCTTTGAGCTACACACTTGTTCATTAGTCTACAAATTAAAACCATGTTTATTATTATTAAGAGACATGATGTTTCCCGTGATGGATTACCAAACCCAAGCACGCTCAAATTCTTTGTACATAGATTTTCACGGTGTAATGAATTGAATAAAAGACAATGCACCGTGAAATGCAGGAAAAGGACATACAGAAAGTTTAAAACGGTGATCAGCTTTGGAAGCTAAATGGTATGATATAATTTTTAGTAAATGCACTATAACGAGAGTGTGCTACTGTAGTTTTAGTTTGTCACATCATGGAGAAACAGATTCAAATCTGGCTGTATTTGGAACAACTGTGAATTTATCGTATTTTCATCATATTGTGCAAACATCTCTCTAGAGGTGCTATGGAGGACTGAATGAATTACCTGTATAGTGCTGTGGAAATGGGGCTTTTTGTGGTTGTTGCTAGCGGATGAGACAAACCTCAGCTTAATACTGACAGAGATTTTCCACTCCCCTCCAGGACTCTTCATCAATTTCCGCCACCTGTACAAGCAGAGGAGGAGACGATACCGCTCGAGGAAAAGGAAAGTCCACTAACTCAACAGCACTTTTATTTTCCACACACTCTGAACTGCTGTCCACTTAAAGATAAAGCAGCTGTTCTCTTTTCCTCTGATTGCCTTTCCTCATCTTCCCACACACACACTGACCTGATGTTGGAGTACTAGTCCCCTTATTCCTCCACTGGGTGAACTGTTCACATTCTCCAGACCAAATCCTCCAAATCTTACTGTACCAGCGTGAAAACCCACTGTTAAGTGGATGTCGCCTGAAAACACTGCACAGGTTGATCCAGTGCTTTACTAATACCATGTTTATTCTCTTTAAAATGTCCATATTTATCCGTGTATGCAGTCGCCATCTAAAGTTTTCTTATTTTATATAAGTTCTGTTGAAATAACCAAAATATTGTGTTCACTTTTCTTCTTGGGTACAAGAGAGGTGTTTACTCTGTGAACATACAGTGTCATTTGTTTTAGATTTAGAGATGGTGTGGTTATCTTTTACATCATTTATAAAATTATGGTCCTTATAGGTCAAAAAATATTGTTAAAATGGCTCTTCAAATCATGTTTTAATGCTTTATGGTCTTTTAAACCATTACCTACGAATCATAGATCCCTCACAGTCAACATTTATTAACCTTTATATTTTTGTCGTACTGTTGTTGTGTGTTAATGCAGTTGAAAGCCAGCACAGTTTTGACACTCTCTTTGTGGTGGTTTGTTCAAGGATGGTTCAGTATCTGGGAATTTAGAATTTTAGATGAAAGAGACAAGCAAATTCATCTGATCATCTTCCCGATGTCCATGTTTACTTGTTTTCTTCTGGGTTTAATATCTAAAATAAAACCGCAGCAGTTAAATGGTCTGAACATACATTAACACTCAGTGAGTGTCTGAAAGTTGTTCTGCTTTCAACTGCATGAAGACACAGCAAAATAAAGCAAATTTTAAATCTCTGCAAGTTAATTTGAACTTTCTGATTCTTGGAAAATCTGTCTGCAGTGATGTGAAGCTGATGAGCTAAAACACCATTTTTATGGGTCCTGAATCAATACGTACATTATTCCATATGCCTTTGTATGAAAACACCATGGCTCTTAACTGTAAGCTGTCAGTTTTGAATTTAGATTTTCATCATCATTGCCAGAGGTGCATTCCTAACACTGAGCCTTGGATGGAACTGTCAGTCATTCACTGCTTTGAATATTAACAAATCCATGCAAATTACATTTTTATAACTGCTTCTTTCTTCTGTCCTTTCTGGCCTTAACATAAGTTTTATTGGTAACCTGCAACACACCTACGCTTATACCTCATGGTCTACAAATGTTTGGGTTTTTTTGTTGTCATGTGAAATAGTGACTGTTTTTGTCAAAAGCTGCAGAGGGACACAGCTCAAAATGATGAGATATTAACTTTAAATTAAAGCATAATGAAGTTAAACGAAATCCTGTAATGTCAAACACATGAAAATAGTTGCGACATGATTCAAATGGATGTAATTCTTTCACTGTCTGTGAAGTTTGACTTGTGAAAAATGGCAGCAGTTTGAGAGGGGAGGTGGTATTGACATAATTACAGAAGTACTGATCATTGCCATTTCAGTATATTTTGTTAGTGTGTAACTGCAGGCTGAAGAATACAAACAGTAGAACAGGGAAAAGTGAGATGAAAGTGATTATAGGTAAAAATCATCAAAACATTTCTTTATCATTATGTTTTGCTCACAATCATGGATACTGGAATCAGCGTCAAAAATCCAGTATCAGTTTTGCATAAATTTCTCTTAAAAATATTGTCCCTACTGCAGCTTTAAACAGGAACGTGTTGCTCATATTTTCTTGGACAGTTCATGTCTGTAAAGAGAAGGAGCTTCAAAAATCTTTCCTAGATTTTATGAGTGGATTTGATCCATACTCCTGACGATGAACGACAGACTGACTTAACATTATCCAGAGAAATACTGTGGCTAAATGGTCAGATTTAACTTAAAAATGTCAGCAGTCTATCAGCAATTATTGTGTTGCTTCTCTGAACTTAAGTTTTACTGTGAGTCCTCTTCAGTGTTTCACTGGGAGCCCAGATGGCCTGACAGGACTGTGGGGTCATTACTGTAAACTTGTACTCATGTACTCTCAAATATTCAAGTTTCATCAGTGTTGTATTGATGGAAGAAATACTTCAGGAATTTTTAAATGTCTTGATGAGCTGTCCACTTCCTGTTCTCATCCTTTTCCACTGACTGTACAAGTTCTTTGTTATCTTTTATCCTTTTCAATCTGTTTACCTTTGAGCCTTTTTTGATTTATATTTATTTGTGTTTGCTGAAGTTGTTGTTTTTATTTTGTTTGTTTAAGATTGATTTTGATTTCTAAGGGTGTCTTTTGGGAGAGATGTGTAGTGGACATTTAGTTTGTTTTTGACGTTTTATAATTCAAAAGTTCTTAGGCTTGCAAATTCAGACTTGAGTGTAAGTCACAGTTATGTTTTTCTGACCAAAATAAACATCAGAGTTCATATTTTTGAGGTGGGCTTTTTTTTCTCGGTTATCAGTTCCTGCTTTGACGTCAAAAATGATCTACTTCAGCCACTTGAGGCTGGATCCACAAGTGAGTCAATACCCATAGACCCTCATGTTAAAATGGCCAACATTACTCAAGTCTCAAGTCAAACTTGACTCAAGTCAAACTTTATTTATACAGCACATTTAAAAACAACTGTAGTTAACCAAAGTGGTGAACAGGCACAAAATATCAAAACAGATCAATCCAGAAGCAAACAACAATAAGAACATCAGAAAACATTAAATGTCTTAGAGAACAACATTTCAGTACAACAGAGGCTGAGGAGCAACATGTTGACATGTTTGGCCAAAATGCGAAATACGAGGCTTCAAAACAGGGGTCCACAAACCAGTGGGTGACATCACAATGACTGTGTTCATTAGTTTTGTACAGTGCATGAAACAGATGTCCCTGGCATGACTCAAGATGGTGCACTTATTTGTCATGCATCCTACTTTTAAATGACTGTATGCTGTTGTCTCCGCTTGTTACCATAGCACACGTTTAAAGGTCCAGTGTGTTGGATTTAGGGGCATGTGTTGGCAGAAATGGAATAAAATACTCATAACTATGTTTTAATTAGTGTATGAAACTAAGAATTGCCGGCTTAGATTGGGGCCATTTATGAAGAAGGTCCTCTTCCACAGAGTTCGCCATGTTGTTTCTACAGTAGCCCAGAGCAGACAAACCAAACACTGACTCTAGACATCTTTGTGTTTTCGCATGGGCCACTGTAGTTTTCCTATTACAGATTGCATATCTGTAATCTCACCACTAGATGTCACTAAATGCTTCACACTAGACCTTTAACAGATCAGCATACTGATAGCATAACATGAGTTAGCATCTGTAGCTAAAAATGAACTTCTCCACATCCACACACTCAACCAAACATGCGCTAACTTATGTTTTGTTTTCAAAACATCATAACGAACATTTTTCTTACAGTTGCCTATAAGAAATGAGAAGAAATTCTAAATATGTGTCTTAATCTTTTTAAAGGCTGGATTCACAATTTGCCAGGTCTGTCTTAAAACAAAAAGTCAGGCGCTCAAATGTACATTGGCCACCAAACTGACCATTAAGAGATCACTTCCTGATCTGCTTACTAAGGTAAAAGATGGGGGACAAAATCCTCAAAATAACTTCCACAGATTATCTATGAGTAAATAAAGAGGAAATCTTTCCAGGTATGAACAGGAGGGATTATTACAGCAAGCAAAACCTGTTTCAGTGTCCAAATGGGTGCCAATGTTTGTTTAAAGACAACAAAATGTGAACTCATCTTTTAGAATGAATGATGGATTTTTTTTTTCAAATAGGCTATGTTAACATATGAAAAGTGTCCTGACAGGAGGCTTTCAGGGAAAATCTAGAAGCTGTTTCAACTTGTGCAAGAAAAAGTAAAAAATTAAGTGTAGGCTTTTAAAAGTTAGTGTGAACAAATGTTTTGAAAGAGTTTTCTAATTTTCAAGTTGAAGAAACAGTTCAGTGAAGATGATAATTTGGCCTCCTGCAAGTCCCCTGCCACTCTTTAAACCACACACACACACACACACACAGGTGTTTCACATTGCCTGATTGGATCTTTGCTATGTGGGTGTAAAGACTGACATCTCCCTCCCTTTTGATATGTCTGTTACTGTGGAAAATTTTCAACTTTTATCCTCCTTATTTGGACATAATAATGACCACACATAATCTCCAGCATGTAAATTTAGTTACAGAAGAGAAAATATACTGATTTAACTTTGACATGAAAACTCCACCTGTATTCTGTGAACGTTTTTACACTACAAGGTAATGGCAACCCACATTTATGTTTTGAACACATTTTGTTTATTGAACATGGAAAATTTGGCATTTTGTGGCGCAAAAATGCTTTTGCTAAACCAAAAAGTATTGTTTTTCTGCGCTCATTTTTTTTCCAAACCCCTAAAAAATGAGGCTACACCTGACCACACCGAAAATAAGGACCACACTCCACCTGTCAGCCTCTCTGAGCATCTAATTATTCTACATCCAACAGGCACCGCGCCCCGAGGTCTCACCTCAAACTGGCAGCTGCGTCCAGCACAGCACTTTGAATGTTGGTGTATTGATACAGCGCTATGTGTGAAAGGGAAGGCGAAAGGTGTTCGGCTCCCAATCCTCTTAGCAGCATTATGCTGAGCTTCGTTCAAGCCCTGACATGCGGTGCGCACTTGTAGCTCCCCAAAACCCGGAGTCAGCATCTCTGCGTCCGTTACGCACAGCTGGAGGGACGGTCCGCAGCGGCGAGGGGCCGTGCAGCCGGCGCTACAGGTAAGACCCGCACCCTCACGCACTGCACACGGCTGTTTTCAGGATTTTATTGTCTCTTGGTGTCGTTTTTTGGATAGTGAAAGAATATAGATGAACGGTTTGTGGCAACCTTGCATGATAATCCGCGCTGGCTTCAATCACTTCACAGTTAAATCTTAGCACGTCCTTTTTAATCACAGATTTGGTGGTTTTATTAACATTGACATCTTAATTCACTGCGGATATGGTTAATTAATCTTTCATTAATGATCATTTACTGCACGCGCGCATTTCATCACGTTGTTTCTGTGTACGCGCTCACATTAAATATATTCACGGGCGATTTCGGATTTAATTTCTTTATTGTGAAGCAAGTCCGATTTTCTTTCCCATTTTAACATGTTTCATGTGTCTTCAATGCACTCCTGTTTTGTGAGAAGCCAAAGCCTGTATGATTATGTAGCCATAGTAACAGGTGGCTGTCTGCATCCCCCATCTACCCCTAACACACACACATACACACACACTTCAGTAGATCTGCCTCTGCAGCTATGTCAGCAGTGAGGACATTATTATGTTCATGATGATGTGATTTTAACTGTTTGCTGTTTTCAGTCCTTCCACAGGTTGAAGCTGCCTGCTGTGAAACATGCAACACACTCTGTGTCCCTGCCTGTGTCTCCTCCCTGTCAGCGGCGTCTTCTCGCCACATAACGCAGCTGGAACTATCAAGGAAAAGCAATGCATCTGACATAACTTCCTGTTTGGAGTCAAGACCACGAGGGCAATGAACGTGCACTCGCCTCCGAGGAGGAGACTCAAGCGCAGTCGCGTCCTCTTCTTCATCTCGGGTGTGCTGCTGTGTTTCGTCTACACGCTGACTCTCAAGGCCAGGCTGACAGAGCCGCGAGCCTCCGCCCAGACGGATGACGCTCTTGGAGCACAGGGGGGTGATGGTGATGTTGTGGAGGTCAACATTCGGGAGGTGATGGCATCCAATGAGACGGAGGAGGAGAGTGTCTCACCTGAGAGCACCAAACCTCCTCTGGTGATAATCGTCAACAGGACTGATATTGAACAGTGTATTTATGTCGATCCTCAACCTCCCAAACCTCCTCCAACTCCACCGCCACCAACCACATCAGCTACCCCTCGTCCTCCACCCCGGCCCCCTCACAGGCAGGGTGATTACCCACATGACATCTTCTCAGTGGAGCAGCGGCGACAAGGCTGGGTGGTCTTGCACATCATAGGCATGATCTATATGTTTGTCGCCCTGGCCATTGTCTGCGATGAGTTCTTTGTTCCCGCGCTGGAGGTCATCACCAACAAGCTGCAGATTTCAGACGACGTTGCCGGGGCCACCTTCATGGCAGCTGGAGGTTCTGCCCCTGAGCTCTTCACCTCGCTGATCGGTGTCTTCATCTCCCACAGCAACGTGGGCATTGGCACCATCGTGGGCTCGGCCGTCTTTAACATCCTTTTTGTGATCGGCATGTGTGCCATCTTCTCCCGGGAGATGCTGCATCTGACCTGGTGGCCGCTCTTCAGAGATGTAACCTTCTACATCCTGGACCTCATCATGCTCATCATCTTCTTCCTGGACAGCATGATCCTGTGGTGGGAGAGCGTGTGCCTGGTGCTGGGCTATATCAGCTACGTGAGCTTTATGAAGTTCAACAGTCAGATTGAGCAGGCGGTCAAGACCCAGATCAACAAGCACATGAGTATCGTCAAGGTGTGGACCGCAGAGGAGCCAGAGAAGGTCAGTCAGTGACACACTGAGACACACACCAGGGAAAAAGTGGCTTAATGTTTGATGTTCTGGTTTAATTATCTCAGGAAAGGAGGAACAACAGTATCATTTGTGCTCACTGAGGTTGTATAAGACGACCCTCTGCCAGTGTTTCCATCAGTCTGTCTCCATCAGAGCTGATTTAATAGTTGAATACAGATGCAAACTGCTGCTTGAGGGCCATATCAGTTCTATGATTCAACAATCAGCTCTCCATTCAAAATCAGCAGCTCCAAATGACTAATTACAGCCGCAATCAGGCTCGGTCACTGTTTTGCAACATCAAATCAAATCCATGCTGCACAAAATGTTTCCAGTGATGTCGATTTCACAGTGACAGAATCAGATCAGAGTTATGTGTCTGTAAGCTGCAGCTTAAGGGCTCTGGGGCATCAAATGGTTGAAAATAGAGACTTAAAGATTGGCCGATGAATTAATTAGTCAAGTGACAGAAAATAAATCAGCAACGTTTTTGATAATACATTATTTTTGGGTCATCCATTAATTGGTTCAGTCCCTGGCTCCTCAGTCCACATGTTGAAGTATCCTCGGGCAAGATACTGAACTTAAAATTCCACATGTGAGTGTGTATGAATGTATATGTGAGCAGGTGGCCCCTTGTCTGGTAGCCTCAGTCACCAGGCAATGAATCTGTGTGCGAATGGGTGAATGCGACATGTAGTGTTTAAGTGCTTCGAGTGGTCAGAAGACTAGACAAGGTAAGGCATGTATTGTATATATGTATATGTATGTGGCACATTTCATACCTAAAAGCAACCCAAGGTGCTTTACTGATTAGTCAGGTCAAGTCAAAGTTCATTATAGCCCAAATACAAAGCATGCCTCAATGGGTTGTGTGTACAGAAAACTAAAAAGGTGCTATACAAATGCAAACCCATACACTAACACTTCACTGGTTCTAGCTTTTAAATGTGATTATTTGCTGGTTCCTCAGTCATCTCACCAAATATCGTTAGGGTTTTGGATCACTGGTTGAACAAAACAAACACTATGAATACATCAAAATACATTTTTCAAAAAGTACACTGCTAAAAAAAACCAAGGGAACACACATCACATCAGATTTTGATGAACAAATTATTCAAGTCAAAAATCTTTACTGATGTACACTGTAGAATTTGTTGAGAACAAAATGACGTAACAACGGTCAATGGAAATCAAAATCATCAACCCACTCAGGGCTGAATCAAAAATCACGCTGACAATCAAAGTGAAAAAATTGAAATCACAGGCTGACCCAACAAGTCATGGCAACTTATAATGTGACTCAGTAGTGTGTTTGGCCCCTGTGTACCTGTACGCACTCCCGACAATGTCTAGGAATGCTCCTGATGAGTCAGCCGATGGTGTCCTGGGGATCTGTGGCAGCATCAGGTGCACCAATACATAACGTCCCATAGGTGCTCAGTTGGATTTAGGTCAGGGGAACAAGAGGGCCAGTCAATGGCATCAATGTCTTCATCATTCAGGAACTGCCTACACACTCTGGCCACATGAGGCCGGGCATTTTCTTGCACCAGGAGGAAGCCAGGGCACACTGCACCAGCGTAGGTCTGACAGTTGCTCTGAGGATTTCATCCCGGTACCTAACAGCAGTCAGGGTACCGTTGGCTCTGACATGGAGGTCTGTGTGACCCTCCAGTGTTCACCACCACATCTCCAGACTCTTTCACGCCTGTCACATGTGCTCAGTGTGAACTTGCTCTCACCTGTGAAGAGAATGGGGAGCCAATGGTGGATCTGCCAGTTCTGGTGTTCTCTGGCGAATGCCAATCGAGCTGCACGGTGCTGGGCTGTGAGCACCCGTCCCACTAGAGGACGTTGAATCCTCATGCCCCCCTCATGGAGTCTGTTTCTGACAGTTTGGTCAGAAACATGCACACCAGTAGCCTGCTGGAGGTCATTTTGTAGGGCTCTGGTAGTGCTCCTCCTGTTCCTCCTCACACAAAGGAGCAGATACTGGTCCTGCTGCTGGGTTGATGCCCCTCTACGGTCCTGTCCAGCTCTCCTCATGTAACGGCCGGTCTCCTGGTGTCTCTTCAAATCTCCTGAGACTGTGCCAGGAGACACGGCAAATCTTCTTGCAACCGCACGTATTGATGTGCCATCCTGGAGGAGCTGGACTACCTGTGTGACCTGATTGGGCTGCAGGTACTGCCTCATGCTACCAGTAGTGACAAGGACACTAGCAGAACACAAAACTAGAGAAGAATCAGTGAGGAAGGATAAGGAGAGAGCAACTGTCTGTGGACACCACATGTAAAACCTTTCCCTTTTGGGGGGTTGAATCAAAGCAGCTGAAAGGGATTCACAATCACTTGAGTTTCCTAAATGGAAAGACTGAAGTTTAACTGACTTGGTATTATACTGTGACCATTAAGTGTTCTTTCATTTTTTTTGAGCAGTGTATCTAGAGACACATCAACACATTGTTGGTTTTGGTCTTTTCATAGGATTCATTTGTGACAGTAAGAAAGAAACAGAGTGCCGCAGCGTCCCGGGTTCGGGTCCAACCTGTGGCCCTTTGCTACATGTCATCCCCCTCTCTCTCCCCCCTTCACACTTCTCTGTCCTGTCCATTAAAGGCTGAAAATGCCCCCCAAAAATATCTTTAATAAAAAAAAAATCTTTATCTTCTAAAACAACCTGAAGTGTTGAATGAACTCTGACAGGTGTTGATTTTAAACTACCTCACTTTTGTGCAAAAAGAAAAATATGGTAATCAAACACAAGGAAAGATGAATACAGACCACACAGATGTCTCTGCAGAGCAGTTGTTAGCAGACAGACTTCCATGTACACACAGTATATTTTCCCTTTCATCTCCTCCCAGTTGGAGCTGCTGCCTGCTCAGATACAGTGAAAGAGAGGCAATGATTTGTGGGTCTGAGCAGGTGACAACCTGTATTTGTGTGAAATCCTTTGATGCTGAACAGAAAGGAGTCCAGGTGTCACAGACAGTGTGTCACAGCGATGAAGTGATTGAAACGTCACTATGTCTCTGCCACAGCACGAAATACCAGTATGTAGAGATGCTATCTAATTTAGAATAGAGAAAAACAAAGAAATAATGTGTTTTTGAAGGGCGTATTCTCTGCAGAACGCCTGCAGACTGAACAGCCTCATGCAGCTGACAGAAAGCAGTTAATGTCTGAGCCTGTAATTAACATGCAGAGCTGTGTTTCAGTATTTCAAGTATCGCCAGCACATTCTTCAATTAGCATGAAAGCATATCTGCCGTCAGTATGTGCTCCTTCAGTCTTAACACTGGGCACAATGACACGTGCTGCCACATTAATTGGTCAGAATCATTGGAAATCAAAATATCCTCTTCCAGGAGTCCAATATGCACTATCCAAGACTTTTACAGTCTTATCCCTTTGATGTGTTCAAAGAAAGACCTGTGAATACCTGTTGAATATGTTGTAATACACACAGGACAAATGGCATTAAAGATCATGTTGCAGAGACAAAGGACTCATGCAGTAATCACTCGCATGAACAGATTCGTTCTTAATTGGCATGGACAAGTGATTTGAGACAATTTCGTAAGAACCGAATTCATGAGCTGTCCACGCCTGTCATATGAGTCGCGTACAGATAGTCTGTCTGTTATCATTTATTTAAATAAAGACATTTACCTGAATGATTAACAAAATCAACCAAAGCAAAAATAAATAATGAAAGAAACTAATGTAAAATTATTATTCTGTTCATTCTTGTGTGATTGCATAATAGCTTGTTAATTTACTGAGGACAAAGATTTTATTTGCCTCGCCAACTCGAACAATTAGGAAATTGTATCACTCCAACGACTCCCTCAGGGTCCTTTTGCAAACTGAAATCCAGAGGGAACATTGTACATCCTCTGTAATAAGACCTGACATAAGCTGTGTCTCAATTCAGAGGCTGCAGCCTTCGAAGGACGTGGCCTTCGCTTCCCAACAGCACCTGTGATATAGACAGCATGGTGGTGCAGTGGTTAGCATTGTTGCCTCAAAGCAAGAGGGTTCCTGGTTTTAGTCTAGGGGTCGGGGAGCCTCTCTGTGCGGAGTTTGCATGTTCTCCTTGTGTTAGTGTAGGTTTTCCCTGGGTACTCCAGCTTCCTCCCACAGTCCAAAGACATGCAGGTTAACTGGTGACTCTAAATTGTCCGTAGGTGTGAATGTGAGTTTGAATGGTTGTCTGTCTCTATGTGTCAGCCCTGTGATAGTCTGGTGACCTGTCCAGGGTGTACCCTGCCTCTCAGTAGTATCAGGTGGGATAGGCTTTAATTTGCCCACAAATGGAGTGGCCTGTTCTCATTCTCAGGGTGTCAAATACGGCTGCTTTGTCATGTCACGTCATTGACGCCAAATGTACCCTTTGTGTGTGCATGAGACACATTGGGCTTTCAACCAACTCCAGTATAAACCCATATGTGGCAATACTTGATGCTGAGAGCAACTGGCATAGTATAGAGAGCGAGGAAGTCCACATAGGTTGAGAGGTGAATGGGCCAAACAAAACTGGACTTTCACCCAGGAGACAGCAGTTTGTGCACGCAGAGGGGCGTGACAAAGCATTGGTATTTGATGACCTAGGATTGAGAATGTGTTGAACATGCTAATTATCAAATATCACCTGTACACCTGTTTGTGTCATGTGAGTATGATTGTGTTTTAACCATCAGTTTACAATTACTATGTTTACATGCACACTGATATTACATGATTATTCCAAATATGAAATTATTCCAAATTTGACACGGGATGTAGTATTTTCTGTCTGAGGAAGAGCCATAGGCTTGAAACATCACTGTGCATTAAAATCCTTTCAGATGGGAGCTGCTTGGTGTGGGGACTTATTTCTTCTCTACTTTGCCAGATGTTTGTTTGGTCCAGCACCCAATTCATAGGACGTTGGGATGTGCATGTCTTTTGTCCCACATTTTCCAATTATGACGTGAGGTATGACGGTATTAATTGGGTTTCAGGAGCATTATTTGGACACTGATTGTTGACTCTGCATCTAGACTGAGCGCCATCTTCCAGCTGACTTATTGAATCTTATGTTCACAGTCAGTTCTGTGTGTTACATGAACCAACTCACCAACAGCTTGCAGGGCTGGTTTAGAGATGCATGCCCAAACAAAAAGCACACATTTCTGGTGGAAAGGAGAAACACACCTACTTTTAAACATTATGAAAGACTTGGATATCAACAGGTTTTTTGCTATGTGTAAATACCACAACACAGACCTTTGCAAGAAGGTAGTTAAAGGAATGTAAGAGGGAGGCTTTCTTCACAGGGTCAAACAAGTCTGCCACCAGTGGAAAACATTGAAATGTTTTGACAAGATAACTGGTACGTTAATCAGAGTATGCACGGCTGCATGTAAACAGGAATATTAGTGGAACATTCATTTTCATTAGCCATGTAAAACAGCTTAGTAGGAATGTTTACTTTTTTGGAATAAGGGCAACAAACTGAATATTTAGTGCATGTAAATGTAGTGAAAAGTGAAAAACACGGTTGGTTCAATTCAACAAGGGATTTGAGGATCTTCTCACAGCAACGACCCTGACCCAACAGCCTCCCCCTCCCATGTCAGCACAGTATCAGCAGATAATAATGACAGTGTTGATACTAGATTTTGACACGAGGCCTCAGGATGAAGCAACAAAGCAGAATCCACTTTAAGGCTTAAGGGTTTGTGATGTGCTGTTTTGCTGATAGCAGCAAACTCACACATACTGTAGTGGTCACTATATTGGATTACTGACTTAATATAGTACTTACATAATGTTTGATGATTGGAAATGGACATCCAAATAAAGACGTTTGCGATCCATCAGTGAATGTTTGATGTACGTTTTCACAGCTGGACCAAACAAAACTCTGTAAATGAACGCATGCAAACTGAATTACTGAGGTGCTGCTAACTGATTATGTTGTTACTGACTTTACAGGAAAGTGAAGCTCCACCAGCACCTGCTCCTCCTGCTGCTCCCCCTGCTGCTGCTCCTCCTCCTGCTCCCTCTGCTGCTCCTACTCCTCCTCCTGCAGCACCAAAAGCTGAAGATAAATCCAAACAAGATGCTCAACAGCGGAGCCCTCAACGCAACAAACCGCCATCAGAGTCTCAAGAGGACAGAGCGAGACTCAGGGTAAGAAAAACTAAATGTAATGTTGTTGGAGTAGACTGGGGTTACACTGTATCATTTTTAGTTGGTAGCCTAATTAGTTTTATTCAAAAATGAGCCATTAACCAAAAAAATAGTGGTGCTATTGGCCTCAAAGGTTTGCACTTAGTCAATTAACGTCATGTGAAAGGTATTTAGGGTTCCTGCAGATTCTGAAAAAGTCCCTGATCACACAGAAAGGGTTTTGCAAAACATGAGGCAAACCGCACTCTTTTATTTTCTAACTGAATGCCACTAGTAAATAAAACAATTGATGCAACTTGTTATTGTTGCCAGGCAACCATCCCATCACGTCCTTACACTAATCTAACCGTGTAATCAATCTACCATTTTCCCCCAGTAATTAGTATCTAGTTCCTAAAATGTTGAGGCAGAGGGTAGTTGCTGTGGCTCTGGTTGAGGGTGAGAGGCTGTCAGTAGTTTGTTGGGCTCAGGGAAACAGAGATCTGTGTGGGTACATGAGACCCTAAAAAAGAGGGTGGATCACAGGTAGTACCACCAGTTGGACCTTGATGATGGCTGTTTCCAGACATATTTTAGGATGACTCAGGGGCAGTTTGACAATTTGCCGTCTATCGTCAGGCCGTATAGCTCTGGGTATCCAGCAAGCACTACCACCAATGTGTCTTCCATTGTTTACCAACTGTAAACTTGCTGCCGTTGCCACCACAGAAAGCCCGTCTCTCAAATCATCCAACTGGACAATGGGAAAAAAAGATGACCAAAAAGAGAGATGATGTGGGGTGCTTTTCTGCTCTGAGTTGAATTTTTTTCAACTCGAGGAGTTCAGAGCGCTCAAGCAAAAAGGCAGAAATGCAATGTGTCACAATGCAAAAAACGTGAGCAAAAAGCTTCATTCTTATTAAAACAATTACAAAAAGCTGCCTCCAGCTGCTTCAACACTGTCTGTGTGATCAGGACCTTACAAGACACTGAATTCATTAATCTAAAAATAAGACCTTGTATGGTTTTAAAATAAATCAACCTTTTCAAATGTCTTAAGATGTTAAGACATGGGAAGTAGGATTATGACTCATTATTTTTTAACGTTTCATTGTAAAATGTCAAAATAATTGGTAACACCTTTTCTTTTTAATAACTTACTGAAAGCCACTCACATTACCGTCACACAGATCAGGACATTGGAACCAACAACACTTATTTTGTTTCTGGCCGAGACCCTCAGAGCAGAGGATCCACTGTCTGCTGTCTCTGACAACATGAGGAGTGCAAATTCAATATACAGTACAGGCCAAAAGTTTGGACACACCTTCTCATTCAATGCGTTTTCTTTATTTTCATGACTATTTACATTGTAGATTCTCACTGAAGGCATCAAAACTATGAATGAACACATGTGGAGTTATGTACTTAACAAAAAAAGGTGAAATAACTGAAAACATGTTTTATATTCTAGTTTCTTCAAAATAGCCACCCTTTGCTCTGATTACTGCTTTGCACACTCTTGGCATTCTCTCTATGAGCTTCAAGAGGTAGTCACCTGAAATGGTTTTCCAACAGTCTTGAAGGAGTTCCCAGAGGTGTTTAGCACTTGTTGGCCCCTTTGCCTTCACTCTGCGGTCCAGCTCACCCCAAACCATCTCGATTGGGTTCAGGTCCAGTGACTGTGGAGGCCAGGTCATCTGCCGCAGCACTCCATCACTCTCCTTCTTGGTCAAATAGCCCTTACACAGCCTGGAGGTGTGTTTGGGGTCATTGTCCTGTTGAAAAATAAATGATCGTCCAACTAAAGGCAAACCGGATGGGATGGCATGTCGCTGCAGGATGCTGTGGTAGCCATGCTGGTTCAGTGTGCCTTCAATTTTGAATAAATCCCCAACAGTGTCACCAGCAAAACACCCTCACACCATCACACCTCCTCCTCCATGCTTCACAGTGGGAACCAGGCATGTGGAATCCATCCGTTCACCTTTTCTGCGTCTCACAAAGACACGGCGGTTGGAACCAAAGATCTAGAAAGATCTAGATCAAGAAATTTGGACTCATCAGACCAAAGCACAGATTTCCACTGGTCTAATGTCCATTCCTTGTGTTTCTTGGCCCAAACAAATCTCTTCTGCTTGTTGCCTCTCCTTAGCAGTGGTTTCCTAGCAGCTATTTGACCATGAAGGTCTGATTCGCGCAGTCTCCTCTTAACAGTTGTTCTAGAGATGGGTCTGCTGCTAGAACTCTGTGTGGCATTCATCTGGTCTCTGATCTGAGCTGCTGTTAACTTGCGATTTCTGAGGCTGGTGACTCGGATGAACTTATCCTCAGAAGCAGAGGTGACTCTTGGTCTTCCTTTCCTGGGTCGGTCCTCATGTGTGCCAGTTTGGTTGTAGCGCTTGATGGTTTTTGCGACTCCACTTGGGGACACATTTAAAGTTTTTGCAATTTTCCGGACTGACTGACCTTCATTTCTTAAAGTAATGATGGCCACTGGTTTTTCTTTAGTTAGCTGATTGGTTCTTGCCATAATATGAATTTTAACAGTTGTCCAATAGGGCTATCGGCTGTGTATTAACCTGACTTCTACACAACACAACTGATGGTCCCAACCCCATTGATAAAGCAAGAAATTCCACTAATTAACCCTGATAAGGCACACCTGTGAAGTGGAAACCATTTCAGGTGACTACCTCTTGAAGCTCATTGAGAGAATGCCAAGAGTGTGCAAAGCAGTAATCAGAGCAAAGGGTGGCTATTTTGAAGAAACTAGAATATAAAACATGTTTTCAGTTATTTCTCCTTTTTTTGTTAAGTACATAACTCCACATGTGTTCATTCATAGTTTTGATGCCTTCAGTGAGAATCTACAATGTAAATAGTCATGAAAATAAAGAAAACGCATTGAATGAGAAGGTGTGTCCAAACTTTTGGCCTGTACTGTAAATTGGCTGTTAAGCTATGATTTCTGTATGGCCGAAACCGATACAAGGCGATGCATATGAGGCTTGGTGTGTTTTATGCAAAAAGTTTTTTAACTGACTCCATGAGAATCAAGGCAGTGGAATCCCATATGCAGAGTGAGAAACACAAAATCGCAAAATATTTTTTGTGACAATAAACATTTGGGCACAGTTGTTTTCTTTCTTAATTTTTTTTGATTTATCGTAAAATTGGTCTCAAAATTTGATTAAATCCAGTAACCTTGAGCTGTAGGAACCCTGTCATTACTGCAGTTTGATATCTGTGTCTGCTGGCCTGTAGGTGCGTCCCGTTCTGCAGCGAGGCGGCAGCTCAGCCTCCCTCCACAACACCTCCCTGAGGAGCACCATCTTCCAGCTGATGATCCACACACTGGACCCTCTGGGAGAAGGTAACAACCAGAAACAACGATGGTTTCAGCAGTAATAAAATCAGATCTGCTGCCTGGAGGTGTTTAAAGCAGTTTTCTAGAAGTTTATAAAAATCCCTGTGAAATCTAAAATTAGGAGACAAACAACAAAATGTACCCTTTTTTTTTTTTTTCCAACCAGCTTTATATCATAACAATGTGGGTCAGAACCAGCTGGCGCCATAGTGTTTCCTGTGGAAAAACATCCAATCTCGCATCACATCACCCACCATCGGAGTGTTTACTGGTCCAGTGTGGCACAGTACTCTCGTAGTTGTAGTTTTTCTACCTCTTGAGCAAAAGCAAATGCCACAGCCCTTTTTTGCGTTTTCTCTGGCCACATAGCACCAGTTTCAAAAGTTTTTTCATCTCTCTACTGCTAAGACACCCCAGTTTTGAAAAGACCATCTTTCCATCAGTGAAATTTAAATATCCTTAAAAAGATAACGTGCCCCTGAAGTTATCAGTAAAAATGAAATGTATTTCTTGTATTCATCTGCAGACAAATATAAAACTTTCCACTTTTAGAGACCATTTTGAGATTTTGGATTTTATTTGAGCACAAAAAAGGTTAAATTACTTTATTCATTTTCTAACACCACACTCTGCTGTCATCCATAACTTGATACTGTCCTGTTATTTCTGCACCACACCAGAATAACATCCTGCTGAACATGGTGCTGTTCAATGCAATGAGGCTGCAGCTTGTGATTATTTTCATTATCAATTATTCTGCTTGAAATCAATTAGTAGTTCTTGTGTTACATGATAATGAAGCAGCAAACCCTCACATCTGAGGAGCTGGTGAATTTCGGTTTGAACAATCACTGAAACGACTGACTGATTGATTTTCTGCCGATCGACTAATCAACTAAGTGTTCCAGCTCCGGGAAGCAGTGACTCAGCTCTGTCCTGGTCTGTGCGTCCTGTCCCTTCCTGTAAGTCAGGGTAGCGTGATGAACCACGGCGACCTTCAGCCCGTCCTCGAACTCAGCGGGCCGTTGTTCCCTCGCTCTCGCAGCACTCGGCCACCGCTGATCCTTAATCAGCTTTTCAATACAGGCTAATAAAAGCTGGATAAGAGCCAGCGTGCTAGCAGACCAAGCTCTTTATCTCTATGGAGCCCGAGTAACAGTGGGACCGCAGCTGAGAGCGGCTCCTGACTGCATCTTAAACATGAACCTGAGGAGGTTCAGCTTCCTGATGACTAAAGCAGTCTTCTGTGTTTCTCTGTTCAGTCAGATGTGGAGAAACAGACAGTTGTGGAGGAAGGATGCAGATCTTTTACTTAAGTAAAAGTACTAATACCACACTGCAAAAACACTCCATTATGAGTAAAAGTTATGCATTGAAAATGATATTTTAGTGAGAGTATGTAAGTATAATGAGCATAAAGTATTAGTACTCATTGCAGTAAAATGTCCCATGACTGTTACACTATTATGTATGATATGAGATTATTTTTACTCATGCATTTAATGTAAAAACAGAATTTTACTGATGTAGTCGGTTGAGTTGGAGCTCATTTTGAAGCAGTAATAAATGATTTATTAACCAGTAATGACATTAGGTACAGTTTATAATCCCCATGAAAAGGTGACTTATTAGAAAGTAGTAATTCAGGAATCACTTACACACTTCTTAAAGCTTCTTCTTCATGTTGGGCATTAAAGGAAAGATCCTCCTCCAAAAATACATACAGTAAACATGGCTAAAGAACATCTGTCAGTGATGACCCTGGAGACGCACTTATAAGTTCACTTTATTTTTTTTAATGCCAGTAGATAAATAGTGTAAAAAGTTACATCACCTGTAGATGTTTTTGATAGTTCAAAATCTGTCAGCAGAAAATGTCATTTGAGGTTTTTGTGTCAGGAGTGGATAACGGTACTCAAAACCTTTTAATCTCAACCAAAATAACCCAGTACCAAGAAGTACTGAAACTTCTCCTGTCCATCAATGCCTGCACTCAGTTGTTTTTTTGTACCAAGATCTAGAAAAAAAACCCTAATTGCATGGTTTGTTCTCAGCCAATCACTGCAAGAATTATTCAGTTTGATGCAGCATGTGATTGGCTCACTACTGCAGCAGCTACAACCCATAGAGTCTGTGGTGTGGTGACGTCAGTGTATTTGACAGAGTTGGCTGTTGACAATATGGCTGTACCACACATCTGTGGCATCTGGGGCCATTGTAGACAATTAAGTGCATCCATTTACATGATGGGCATCAATGAAATAGAAAAAAGGGTCTTGAATGAAGTACTGTAATGTTATCGGTATCACTTTAAAGGTACTGGTATTGTAATTTTTTTACACACAGCTCTAGTGTCAGTACAACAGGAAGGGATTCTTTCTAGAGCTTCTACTTTTCATATGTAGGTAAAAAAAACTGGTTGTATGTTCTCTGGTGACGTTGGAAGGCGTTGTAGGAAATCTTTAACCGAGGTCCAAGGACAGAGGGAACATCAGTGATGTAAATTTTGTTCAACAGATTATCACAAAATACTGACAGATCATTTAGGAGGCACTAGTGATGGGTCAAAAAGGAACCAACAAATCTTTTTGAATTATTCTTTTTAGTGTCAAGTATGTACCAGGTCAGCCTGTCCAACATCCGACTGCTCATGAATCCCCGACTTGTCCCACCCGCTGTTATCGTAGAGAGCTGCTACAGTGAGTGAAAGAGAAGCAATTAAATGGGACTGGAGTTGAGACCTTTGCCAGCCAAGGCAAAAGATGCATTCATGTACACTTCGGATGGACGTTCTTTCAACTTTGGTGTGTTCTTTAGCTTTAAAGGGATAGTGCACCCAAAAATGAAAATTCAGCCATTATCTACTCACCCATATGCCGATGGAGGCCCTGGTGAAGTTTTAGAGTCCTCACATCCCTTGCGGAGATCGGTGGGCGGAGCAGATAGCACACCTAATGGCAGACGGCGCCCCAGACTAACGTCCAAGAACACAAAATTGAATCCACAAAGTATCTCCATACTGCTCATCCATAGTGATCCAAGTGTGCTGCAGCTGCAACATAAAAAGTTGTTTCGAAAAACGTCACATGAACTCTGTTTGTAGCCTCACTGTAGCCTGTAGCTCTGACTGCTTCTCTGTGCTCTGCGTTCACGTGTGTGCGCCTGCACGAGACCACCGAAAGCATGAGCTTTGCTCACCCGTGTTTACATCACGTGACACGTGCACAGCAGGGGGAGACAACGGTAGCCACAGTCGCTAAAAGATAATTTGCACTACGGTCTTTTAGCAAAGGACAGCCCAACATGTCTGAAGACTTTGAAATTGAGGAGGAACAGCATTTCTTTGTTGAGCCGTATTTGTTTGAGCCCGAGTATACGGACGGAACTCAGGCTACTGTTCGAAGCAGCCGCCGCAGCTCATGAGCCTAACCCTCAGCCAGCCGCAGAATGCCGGAGTCGAGCACTGGAAACCTGGTGGTGTAGTTGTTTCAAATGCAAAGCAATGCCAACGGATGAGGAAAGTCTTTGCTGCTCAGACTGGGAATTGGCGATGCCTGCACTTGAGAATCTGGACATCAGTACTGACGAGACTGCTGCTCTTCAGAGACCGTGCATCACCGATCACCCTGAGCGCGCACACGTGAACGCGGAGCACAGAGAAGCAGTCAGAGCTACAGGCTACAGTGAGGCTAAAAACAGAGTTCATATGACGTTTTTCGAAACAACTTTTTATGTCAGGGCTGCAGCACACTTGGATCACTATGGATGAACAGTATGGAGATACTTTGTGGATTCAATTTTGTGCTCTTGGACGTTAGTCTGGGGCGCCGTCTGCCATTAGGTGTGCTGCCCGTCCCCCCGTCGATTTCCGCAAGGGATGTGAGGACTCTAAAACTTCACCAGGGCCTCCGTCGGCATATGGGTGAGTAGATAATAGCTGAATTTTCATTTTTGGGTGCACTATCCCTTTAAAATGTGTGGTTGAAACGACATCGATGCTACAGAGAAGATGTTATATTTGATTGCTCTGTGCCTTTAAACAACACATTGATGCTAACGAAGAGCGATGGAAATGGATCAGATGACAAATATGATCAAAAACTCATTTTTTTTATTATTCCAACACCACATGAACGCAACACAAGACCACACAGGTTACTGGGTCGTCTGCTACTTGCCCCTCAAAAAACAACAGATCGTTGGTCATTGGCATTTTTGGAACATAAGAATTAGCTGCATAGCCTAACTACATACATGTGGGATGCTGAATCAGTGCATTAAAATAAATATTTTATCTTTAATAATTATAGCTTAATGATGACTGGTAATTGAAGAGAGGTTTTGTGGGATGGGCAGGGATGTGCATGTGCCGCAACAGTGTCACGGAGAAACTGGCAACATATTTTGCAAAAAATATCAAAACTTAAAAGCTTCGAAAGGTTTGATATTTTTACACATAACAACTGTAAGGAAACAATACCGTGAAAAGAATCGGTCCCATCGTCACAAGAAGGCACTGAACAGCACAGACACAGATCATAACTGTCAGTTTGAGTGGACACAAGGTGCAGTCACAAAGAAAACAAATAAACGCCTGTGGCTCAGATGACGTTAAAATGGTCATTGTGGGTTTCCATCCTCAGAGGCAGCTCTTAGAGGAGCTGTGAAAACCCCTGGGCCGAGGAAAGTCAGGAGAGGTAAGAGCGGCAACAAGATGTCGCCTCACTGTTGTTTCGTGTCGTGTGTCTTGTGATCGTGGTTCATGGGTGTGTTCTGTGCAGTTCAACCCTGACAGTGTATCAAATAAGTCAACAAACTTAAATCTTATTTTTTGTACTGTTTTGAGACAGTTAAAAATAATTGAATTATAATTTAGGAACTTGAGCAAAATTCTGACTTTCCAGCTTCATTTCATCATCGGACCAAGAGTAAATTTCAAAAATGATTTTTTTTAATGCATACACATATATAGTTGCATGTAATTAAAGTGTCATATAACTGGAGGAGACTGATAATGATATTTAGTCATGTGTATCTCTGCCAATCAGAGACATCCTTTAATGGTGATGTCAGAGGGGAGGGGTCAGTGCAGAGGAAAGGTAAGACATCTGTGTGCTGCGTCTTGTGGTGGTGCTCAGTCTTGTCTTGTTTGTGGACTGGTTGTACATGGTTGTTTATATTAGATGGTGGTTTGTACATGTTGGATGGCTGCATGTTGGTTTGTTTGCACCGCATGTTTCTGTGTTGTTGATGTTGTTGTTGTGAGGATCACTGACCTTTTTTCACACACTGGCTGTTTGAAATATATAATATATAGTATATAATGATACTAATACTCACAGGATTGTTACAGAATCTCAGGTTGTGCTCATGAGAGCATGAAACTCTTCCATCAGGATGTTTTTTTTAACAAGGCTTCAAGATGAGTCTCGAAGGATTCAGTAGTGCATCGTCTGTCTAAATGTGGTTTGTTTGTAAAGCACAATCTAAGTTAGAGTAAATGTATCAACAATATCTTACATTTTTTCCCATATCAGTTAAAACAAATGTGAATTTTTGAAAAAGTCTCCAAACTGAAGCAAAAACAAATTACACTTTTTTTTAAAAAATAGTTTGTGTGTAAATGCTTTTGTTCAGTTGCTGATTTGACTCAGTCAAGAGTATGAGAAGATAAACACTCTCCCACTGCTATGTACCAAGATTTATCCTGCACAGAAAATGCCATTTAGAGATTCTTCTCTGAGGAAAACAAAATGCCACAAAAATCTGGAGGGATATATGTTTACATTTTTATTTAAGTCCTGTTTTTGTTTAAATGGCTCATTATTATTTTGCCAGTCTTTCCTAAAATGGTCAGAGTGTGAGTATAAGGTCGAAGGCATGTTAACTAAGCTGCTCGTATTTCTCAGTTGATATAAAAAGGTCTCGTTGTATATGAGCGATGATTCTCTTGATTGCAGCAAAGAACAAAATAAAGCCTCTGAACGTCACGGTCACGGGCAAATTACAGAGCAAGTTGCATCACCGACACTTTGAAGGTGAGTTGTGTGTTAGAATTTATACCTTTCTTTGTTTAAAGGTACAGTCTGACATTTTGATAAACGCCCACAGTCAGATAGGACTGATAGCAGTTTCATGAGATAGATTTGTAAAGTGTTATAGCCTAGCTTGGCACAAAGAGGTAGAAGCAGGTGGAAACTGTTATCCTAGCTCTGTCTAAAATTGAAAAAGATCAGTAGCCTGACAGTGTTATATGGCAGAAAACTAAATGTTATTGTGTGTTTCAACACCCATACTGCCATACTGTATAGAATGCCAGAACAAGATTTAGTATGTCTCAATAATTAGTATGTCAAATGCAGTATCAGTAAAAGTACCAGGATATTCTACTGCATCTGGTCTAATTTTGCAGTATGCAAGGCAACATGCTTTACTGGCTATTCTGACCCACAAACCACTGCAGCAAAATATACGTCACATCGACTGTCTAACATCTGACAGCCTATTCAGGTGACTGCTGACCAGTCGATTAGTAATAATAGGAATATTAATTGTTTAATTGAATAAAATAATCTTAAATATAACCAACAACAAGTGCCATCTAGTGGTAGTAAGAGCACGATACACTAATCCATGTAAAAACAAGATGGCAGCCATCTCTGCAAAGTCAGTCTGCATCTGATCCCGACACAAAAGTGGACAAGATCCAAAACTTGATCACATTTAATGGTTGTAACTAGTTTATTTATGATTAATAATGCTTATAGTAATAAAGGTGACCATTTTTAGCAGTCGTAACAAGCTAAGACGCTGTTTGTCCTTATTAGAGGACATCACGACTTTATTATCGTCTTGTTGGAGGACATCAAGACTTTATTATTGTTGACAATGTTTAGTTTTTTATACTTATCAGGTCCTACTGATCCCAGATAGCTGAGAGAAATTAAAAATGCACACCAAACAAAAGTTCGGGTCTCAGGAGGTTAGAGTCACCACTTAATCTGCATGTCTTTGGACTGTGGGGGGAGGCCAGAGTACCCAGAGAAAACTGTCGCTGATACAGGGTGAACATGCAATCTCTGCACAGAAGGGCTCCCCCTCTTGCTGTGAGGCGACAATGCTTACCACTGGTGTATAAACTGTGTTTATATTGATAGAGGTAGGCAAACAGTTTCTCCTCCAGTCTTTGTTAAGCTAAGCTGATTAATTTATGTTTTATACCTTCTTAATATTGTTGTGAATATTTAATTCTATTTTAATTTAATTTAGCTAATTTAATTTTATTTTCTGGCTGCGTGTTCTTGTTTTCAATTATATATTAAGATTTTTTTTTTCGTGGACGTTTTTGGAGATGCAGCCCTCTTGTGTGTGTGTGTGTGTGTGTGTGTGTGTACAGATATAAGTCTGGTTGTGTATCGAGGATCAGAGATGGTTTGTGGGTTTGAAGGAGGTTGGTCTCCACAATCAGTGGAGCCTCTCAGTGGGTGTGTTTGTGCGTCACAGTGTGGAGTAATGAGGTGCTTCAGAGTCTGAGGTGCAGAGTAAAGAAGGGCTGCAGGGAGTCTGGAGAACCCTCAATGAGCCTGAATCAATCAGCCTGACGATTAACATGCAGATGGGACTCTGTGTGTGTGTGTGTGTGTGTGTGTGTGTGAATCCCTTTTCCTCCATTAGCAGAGCATGTTTATCTCCAAACACTCCAGGCACTCCCCCTGGCACTTCATACCAGCCCACACAGCATAATAATGCTGTCAGCCAAGCACTAAAATTAAGGTTTTATTTTGTCTCAAAGAGTGACGTAAAAAGAACTTCCTGTTAGAAAAAAATTAGACGAGTGCCGACACCTTCAGAGGAATATCAAGTGTCGGAGTCCTCCATATATATCTGCTGTGTGTACATTTGGTCACTCTGCGTTCCTCCTCTTTCCCCAGAGGTTGACCACAAGCCAACAGAGCCGCCCAGTGCAGTTGCTGCCGGTGCACCAGGGGGCGCTGCAGCCGAGCCGTCCACCTCACAGCCTCAAAAGACGGAAGGGACAAGTGAGAAGACGGACCAACAGCCAGAGGAGACAAAGGTATGCGGAGATGATCTCAGCCTCATTAAATACTGGAAACAGAAGCTTCATCAATCAACCAAGAAATAATTTACAAAGATTTGTTTAAACTGAGCTTTTGGGAATGATTTTGATCCTCTGACTTTTAGAAGCCACTAACTGCACATGCTTTTCTTTCCCCTGTGTTGTTTTGCAAAACAATCACGTCAAAGTAACTGAGATAAAGACCCAACAGCACCTGTATCCTGCTACCATGAAACATATTTAGACTTTGAAGCACTTGAATGCTTCTTAATCACAGTTTGACAGCTGGGAGATGAAAGTAGTGATGGTCAGAAATGGACGAACAAATCTTTTGAACGACTCTTTAAAGTGTCCGATATGGACTGGGTCAGCCTGTTGGCCTGTACCGTTCACACTGTCTGTGTGTGGACGAGATGCGACTGAATCAAACCTCAGTTCAGACAGCCTAGTAGCTGCACTCACTGAACAAGACCGAGTGAACCTTTCTCTCGAGATGGGACATATTCTGCTTGCCCAGGAAAAACGACAAATCGATTCAATCTCAACATATTTCTGTAACATCTGTCGGGTTTATATGGCCAACATACATTCAAGGGTTGCCCCCTGTCACCAATCCTGTTTGTGGTATCCATGGACAGGATCTCGAGGTGTAGCCGGGGGGAGGAAGGGGTCTGGGTTGGTGACCTCAGAATTGCATCTCTGCTTTTTCGCAGATGATGTGGTTCTGTTGGCTTCATCAGACCGTGACCTCCAGCATGCACTGGGGTGGTTTGCAGCTGAGTGTGAAGCAGTCGGGATGAGAGTCAGCACCTCCAAATCTGAGGGCATGGTTCTCTGCTGGAAACCACATTGAGTGTGTTTACATGGACATGAATAACCCGTATATTATCATGTTTTTGGAGTATCCTGTTTATAAGTCACGATTATTCTACCTGAATTATGCTACTCTGAAAGAAACTGGGGGCCCTAGTGTAGTGGCTAGAGCACTCGTCCTACACTCGGAACGTCCAGGGTTTCGAATCCTGGCATCAGCAAAGGCAAGAGACCCCCACCATCAACTCAAACAGGAGGCTTGCTTAAGGATAAGACAGTAACTCCAGAATCTGAGCCAAGTCCTCAATGCAGCCACATCTCAAGTATTTTTACATCCCAGATGTAAAAGCGGATTCAGTACTCTGAAAGAAACTGGGTTACTGTTGCATGTTATCCTGGTTATTGTGGCTTCTGCAGAAATTCAAAAAATGGCGGCGATTGTCAGTCATTTCTGGAGTCAGGGGTGTGCATTTAAGAAAGAGGAAGAGAGACGCAGATGTGCTCAGATCAGACAGCTGTTGGAACAGAGAAAAAAATTGTAAAGTGGCAGTAAATGTACAATGCAGTGTTTAATATTTCCTGTCCCTCTCATCTCTCATTGACAGTTTGTTTTTGTTAGCGTCACAGCGCCTACACAAATAGACTGCAGCAATGAGTAACTGGATTTCTGGTATTTTTCACGTATATGGGGAATATGAATATCCAGATTTCTCTGTGCTCATAAAAACCACATCCTGAATATGATCATAACCTGGACAAGCCTCATAACCATGTTATTCATGTCCATGTAAATGCACTCATTTAGAATCTTCCAGCAGCTGGTGTGAAGTCTGACATCAGAAACATCTTCATCAAGAGGAGAAATCCATTGTCTCCTAAACCAACCCCCCCCGACTCACTAACCCTGTATCTTTATGCTGTTGCATGAGTCACAGCCTCGACGCTCTGATTCCTGATAATCCTTCCCTGAGTGAAATCGAGGGCGAGACGTTCAGCCTCCTAATCAGGCTCTCAGAACGGGGTCAGCTGGAGTGCTCTTAAGACCCCAGAGTGCATTTTAAGTGGAATCACCAGCACAGAGAGAACATTTAAGTGTGCGTGGTTGCATTTATGGCACATGACGTACAGTTACCTCATGTTTCTGTGAGTTACACTACGTGATGAAGAGAAGAGAAACACTCAGGTGTAAAGGGAAAAAAACTAATGAAAGCATAAATATGGAAAGGTGTGTGCCGCGCTGTCAGTGACAGTGTCATTGTTGATGTGACCATTAGGAGTCACTAAAGTCAGAAATTCTGTATAAAGATGTGTAAAAAAGAAATATCCCCAAGTGTTGACAGCTTAAAGATGTGACACCAGGCTGGAGTGCTGCAGCCATCCATCTGTTTTCAACCACTTATCTGAAGCTGGGTTGCGGGATCAGCGGGCTCAGCAAAGTATTCCAGATGTCCCTCTCCCCAGCAACGCTTTCTAGCTCTTTCTAGCGTTCCAAGGCCAGATGAGATATATAATCCCTCCAGCGTGTTCTGGGTCTGCCCCAGGGCCTCCTACCAGTGGGACATGCCCCGAGCACCTCTAATGGGAGGCGCCCAGGAGGCATCCTGATCAGATGCCTGAAACACCTCAACTGACCGTAGCAGCAGATCTACTCCGAGCTCCCTCTGGATGTCCGAGCTCCTTACCCTATCTCTAAGGCTGAGCTCAGCCATCCTACGGAGGAAACTCATTACTGCCGCTTGTATTATTCTTTCGGTCACTACGCAGAGCTCATGACCATAGGTGAGGGTTGGGACGTAGATGGACCAATAATTTTAACATTTTTGACATTTTGACTGGTCAAACAGAGATCTAACTAATAAAATGATTAACTGTTGCATTGCGGTAATTTCTGGAAATGAGCAGTTATTAATGTTGCCAGTTCTACCTATGCTTTTATTGCTGTGACAAGTCAAAAGTCACTATTGAAAAGGTCAAGTGCTCTGATACAAGCAAGGCTGTAAAGATTCAGGTTGTTCAGAGAGTAAAACAAAACGATCAGTACAAAATGGAGAGATTTGTGACAGCAAAGAGAAGAGAACCAAATAATTCTTGTCATGCAAGCACACCAGTTAAAGGAATAGTTCAGATACTTTGAAGTGGGGTGTATCAGGTGATTATGCATAGTCAGTTTATTACATACAGTAGATGTTAGTCTGCACGCCCCCAGTTTGAAGAAGCATGCACGAGTGCTGTCACAGAAGCTAAAGGGAAAGTGCACCCAAAAATGAAAATTCAGCCATTATCTACTCACCCATATGCCGAGGGAGGCTCAGGTGAAGTTTTAGAGTCCTCACAACACTTGCGGAGATCCCAGGGGAGAGTGGGTAGCAGCACAACTCCACCTAATGCAGGCTGGGCGCCCCAGATTAAAACGTCCAAAAAACACATAATTGAAACCACAAAATATCTCCATACTGCTCGTCCGTAGTGATCCAAGTGTCCTGAAGCCCCGACATAAAAAGTTGTTCGGAAAAATGTCATTTGTCATGTCATGTTCAGCGAGCCAAAATGGCTGTTTTTGTCAGTGGAGTCTGGTGGCTTTGATGAGAGCATAGATGGTGAACTAAAGCTGTTAAAAAAATCAAACTATCCCTTTACATTCAAAATATGAAGAAGCCTGTCCAGCTGTGAATTATAGTGTCACTGTAGCAGGTATTTTTCTAATAAGTTTGACTGTCGTTTCTTACTGCACATAGGAACATGCGGCTCATGTTTTACCTTTATTCAAAATGAAATTCAGCTTTGCTCCTTTTCTAACCAGCGTTCCCAATACCAGTGGTATTGTTACCAGTTCATAATAATGAAATCAGTTTATGCACCAGGGGGACATAAAATGTCTGCCTGACAGAAAAAGTTTGAGGAACACTTTGATACAACAAACTCACTTTGTTTCACTGCTGCGCTCTCTCCCGCAGGCCGCAGCGGGGGGTTCAGAGGGCTCGGAGGACAGCGATGAGGATGATAGCGGCGGCGAGGAAAGCAGTGACTCCGGTGAGAGTGATGGTGATGATGGGGATGATGATGAAAACAAGGAGGAAGAGGAGGAGGAGGAAGAGAATGAACCGTTGTCTTTAGAGTGGCCTGAAACCAGACGCAAGCAGGCCACCTACCTGTTCCTGCTGCCCATCGTGTTCCCGCTGTGGCTGACGTTGCCGGATGTCCGCAACCTGGTGAGTACGAACCAAATTAGAGGTACTTGTACTCTGCTGGAGTATTTACATTTTATGTGACTTTTTACTTCTACTGCATCACATCTCAGAGAGGAATACTGTACGTTTTACTGCACAGTTATCACACACACAAATCAGTTTAACATGTTTCACTAAAAAGCACCATCTGTTCATCTGGTTCCAAATCTGTTTATTTTGACATGACAGGTTATAACGTCCTCTGTGTTTTCCAGGCATCCAGGCGGTATTTTTCCATCACGTTTATAGGCTCCATCCTGTGGATCGGAGTTTTCTCCTACCTGATGGTGTGGTGGGCTCATCAGGTTGGTTTGCACTTCACACAAGTCACGTTTACATAAATTTAAAAACCACTGTGCCGTTTGTGTTCGGTACTGAGTGTGGAAAATGTCTTGTGTCTTTCCAGTAGACAGCTATGACACAAATCGTACTTTTAGGTACTGTTGCCCACATAACAACAGGTCCGGCTTAAAGTTTTGAGGTGGGACGTCAGTGCACAGAGTGTGCTCAGGAGTTACCAACACAGAGTGGGGAGCCTACAAGAAGCAGCTGGAAGGAACAGTCCAACATTTTGGCTAATTGACTTCTACGCATTCTTGCTAAAAGTGAAATGACAAAATTGAAACACTCTCATGTCTGTATGGTTAATATAGTCTGATTCAGTGGGTGTAAACCTGGCCAAACAATCATGGCTCCCCAAAGAGGAGTGCTTCTGCCAAATGTGCAAGGAAGACAACGTCGAGACAGAGCTGCATTTCTTAACAGAATGTACAAAACTCTAGCCTGTGCGAACAAAATGTTTACCCAAATTTAAAAACAAGCATTCTAAATTTGACCTCATAACCAACAAAAACAAATGACTAATCTCATTGAGAGAGCACACAGAGAGCTGCAGTCTAGCAGCAGAGTATGTCTTTACCAGCCACACTGAATACCATTATTACCGTTGTTTTTATCTTGTTTTGTTTTATTTTATTTTTTATTTTTATTTAGTTTAGTTTATTTAAGAAAGGAAAGTGGAAATTAATAAATATACATGGTATAAAAATGCCAGAATTAGCCAAAAGGCTATTTTTCATCTGTAGTCCCTTGGCCAAGATGTTACACAACACTACCTAAAATACAACAAAGCACAAAAAACACGCAAAAAAACCCCCAAACAAACAAAAAAATAAGGAAAAAAACAAACAAACAAACAGTCAGAATGACTCATACAAAAAAGAAAACAGGGCATACAGTTTAAAAAAGGGTCTTTGAACACATCAACAAGAAATGATTTTGATGTAACAGGAAAAGATTTTAACAAAACATTACATTTTATTTTATTTTTTCCTTTTTTACACTGTTGCCATCAGTATGTTTCAGCTTGCATCAGACAAAGAAATGTATATATAGTGTTTTATTGATTGCATTTTAAAAACTGAACCTCAGTGTGCTTTGGCAATATGTGTCCATATGGTCATGCCAATAAAGCCTCTTTGAATCTGAATTTGAATTTGACTAGGTGCAGTCAGTTAGCTTGGCACAAAGAGTCCAAATGTAACAAACTCTACCAGCCGTCATATCTAAAGCTCATTGATTAACATGTTACATCTTACTGGTTTAATCTGCACATTAAAAGTGTAAAAACATCAGGCTGTGGTTAACATACGTTGCTGGAGAAGGCGCTGACACCTGTTTTCATCTTTTACAGGTGGGTGAGACTGTGGGCATCTCAGAGGAAATCATGGGCCTGACCATCCTGGCGGCCGGGACATCAATCCCTGACCTGATCACCAGTGTTATCGTGGCCCGAAAAGGTCTGGGAGATATGGCCGTGTCCAGCTCAGTGGGCAGTAACATCTTCGACATCACTGTAGGGTAAGTGCTGGAGAACATCTCTCTGTACCAGCTGTAACCAAAGTAAGAATGTCATACTATTGGATATAAGGATTCCTTAACTAAAGAAAGCATTACTGAACCACCTCTTTACCTATACAGTACAGGCCAAAAGTTTGGACACACCTTCTCATTCAATGCGTTTTCTTTATTTTCATGACTATTTACTGTGTAGATTCTCACTGAAGGCATCAAAACTATGAATGAACACATGTGGAGTTATGTACTTAACAAAAAAAGGTGAAATAACTGAAAACATGTTTTATATTCTAGTTTCTTCAAAATAGCCACCCTTTGCTCTGATTACTGCTTTGCACACTCTTGGCATTCTCTCCATGAGCTTCAAGAGGTAGTCACCTGAAATGGTTTTCCAACAGTCTTGAAGGAGTTCCCAGAGGTGTTTAGCACTTGTTGGCCCCTTTGCCTTCACTCTGCGGTCCAGCTCACCCCAAACCATCTCGATTGGGTTCAGGTCCGGTGACTGTGGAGGCCAGGTCATCTGCTGCAGCACTCCATCACTCTCCTTCTTGGTCAAATAGCCCTTACACAGCCTGGAGGTGTGTTTGGGGTCATTGTCCTGTTGAAAAATAAATGATCGTCCAACTAAAGGCAAACCGGATGGGATGGCATGTCGCTGCAGGATGCTGTGGTAGCCATGCTGGTTCAGTGTGCCTTCAATTTTGAATAAATCCCCAACAGTGTCACCAGCAAAACACCCCCACACCATCACACCTCCTCCTCCATGCTTCACAGTGGGAACCAGGCATGTGGAATCCATCCGTTCACCTTTTCTGCGTCTCACAAAGACACGGCGGTTGGAACCAAAGATCTCAAATTTGGACTCATCAGACCAAAGCACAGATTTCCACTGGTCTAATGTCCATTCCTTGTGTTTCTTGGCCCAAACAAATCTCTTCTGCTTGTTGCCTCTCCTTAGCAGTGGTTTCCTAGCAGCTATTTGACCATGAAGGCCTGATTGGCGCAGTCTCCTCTTAACAGTTGTTCTAGAGATGGGTCTGCTGCTAGAACTCTGTGTGGCATTCATCTGGTCTCTGATCTGAGCTGCTGTTAACTTGCCATTTCTGAGGCTGGTGACTCGGATGAACTTATCCTCAGAAGCAGAGGTGACTCTTGGTCTTCCTTTCCTGGGTCGGTCCTCATGTGTGCCAGTTTTGTTGTAGCGCTTGATGGTTTTTGCGACTCCACTTGGGGACACATTTAAAGTTTTTGCAATTTTCCGGACTGACTGACCTTCATTTCTTAAAGTAATGATGGCCACTCGTTTTTCTTTAGTTAGCTGATTGGTTCTTGCCATAATATGAATTTTAACAGTTGTCCAATAGGGCTGTTGGCTGTGTATTAACCTGACTTCTGCACAACACAACTGATGGTCCCAACCCCATTGATAAAGCAAGAAATTCCACTAATTAACCCTGATAAGGCACACCTGTGAAGTGGAAACCATTTCAGGTGACTGCCTCTTGAAGCTCATCGAGAGTGTGCAAAGCAGTAATCAGAGCAAAGGGTGGCTATTTTGAAGAAACTAGAATATAAAACATGTTTTCAGTTATTTCACCTTTTTTTGTTAAGTACATAACTCCACATGTGTTCATTCATAGTTTTGATGCCTTCAGTGAGAATCTACAATGTAAATAGTCATGAAAATAAAGAAAACGCATTGAATGAGAAGGTGTGTCCAAATTTTTGGCCTGTACTGTATATCAAAGTTTTAATGTGGAGTCAAATATGGCACCAACTGTTTGAGCCCAAGATCAGTTGGGAAATTCAAAAAAACTATTTTTATCTTGCCCCTTTTTTTTAGCTGCATAAATTTAAATAATATCCATCATTTACTGTCAGCAACACAGGTTAAGTAAGGCAAAGGCCATCAGAGACATTTGATTTAATCAGAAGATATGCATAAAAATGAAGAGAAATATTTATTTTTTGCATGTAAAAAATTATAGGTACTAAAATTGAACCTTGAGGAACACCTACAAGTTTAAGTTCTGCTAAAAAGTCATAAAAAATCATTTTAGATTCTGATTACTTGTAAAAAATTCTGCATTCAAAATCCTGAATGATCTGATGTGCTGGTCACATAAAGTATGTAAATTGTAAACTTGACAGAAATCCATCTATCCTCTCTTTTTTTTAGGCTGCCAGTCCCATGGCTCATGTACACTCTGCTACACAAGGGCGATCCGGTAACCGTCCGCTCCAACGGCCTATTCTGTGCCATCGTGCTGCTCTTCCTCATGCTCCTTTTCGTCATCATCTCCATCGCCGCCTGTCGCTGGAAGATGAGCCGAATGTTGGGTCTCACCATGTTCGTACTGTACTTTGTGTTCCTCGTGCTCAGCGTCATGCTGGAGGATCGCATCCTCACCTGCCCCGTTTCAATCTGAGCTGACGGGTCAAACATCACCGCTGCACATGACTCAGTACGTCCAGACAGCATCGATACTGTATGTAGGATGTGTTAGATAGAAGAACCAAGCCTGGTGTCAAACGGCTGACTTGGCGCACAATAGAAACATTTAACGAGCAGTGATGTTAAAGGAAAAGTCCACCCTCAACATAGTGTTACATTATTAGTCTATACACATTTCCAGCAGCTACTCTGTCATAACTGTGTGCACAGTCACTCTGTTCATTTAATACTGCACCATATTTACCCTCCTCCATTTTACTTAAAGGAGCTATATGTAAGAAATATAAAGCAAATAGTCATAAAATCCTCCTAATATGTCACAGAGACTAAGGAATAATGTTCATATAACATACTGATCTCACCGACAACAATAGTACAGCCAGAATATTTGCATCTAAAAAATTTTTTTGCAGTCTGCAAATCATGTTTATGTTTTGAATTTGTGTTTTGGCCTGTTGCACCACCCACCGTCATCTACCAGTCACGCAGTCAGTAGAGTCTCAGCATCAGTTACAGTTACGACTGAGCTACAGCAGCACGGCAAGCAGCATTAGCAGTGTCCCAGTACATAGCATTAGCAGTGTCCTAGTACATAGCATTAGCAGTGTCCCAGTACATAGCATTAGCAGTGTCCCAGTACATAGCATTAGCAGTGTCCCAGTACATAGCATTAGCAGCCGGCTTCTCCTAAGCTGTATCCTGGCAGCAGCGTTAGCAGCAGAGAACCCGGACTTGCTCAAACGGTCCGCTGGAAAACCGAAGATCAAGGACGCGGCGACGCGGCCCTGCCACGGCAGCTGCCCGTGGGCAAACAAATCAGTCTCTAGCGTGCCGCTGTCCAGCAACCTCGAATCTGTAGGGGAGGGGGGGCGGACACGACTCGCGGCAGTATTTTGAATTTGAGCGCAGTAACCGTTTTGGCCACATTCTTACATACAGCACCTTTAAGTGCATTCAAAACATAGTACACTAAAAAATGTGTTCATGACATGTACACTACACGTTAGGGCTGCCCTCGACTCAGAATTTTCCAAGTCGACCAACAGTCGTCATTTATGGCCATTAGTTGACTAGTCTCCCACATGTTTACGATATTAATTTAATTATTAAATGATATATTTTGGGCGGGGCAACACAATGGTTTGAGTTGAAGGTGTGAGAAAGAATAGTATCAGTAACATTGTTAACACTGTGCTACATTACAGAGAAATACAAAACCGTACTAATGAACCTTCATTAATATAGGCCTATATTTTATCTACAAGTGCACGTCACACACTGAGCGAGCCGCCTGTTAATGACGCTGTGGGCTAATGGGCATGTAGCTACTTCCATGTTTCAGATGATACGTCATGTTTGTAGTCGACCAATGAAGATGAGTTTACATATCACCTTGGGCTCGTCCTTCACCTTCTCAAAATGATCCCACACTTTGGATTTCCTGCCCGACATGTTATTAACTAGCCTGTGGAATAACCGCAGGTACCAGCCCTGGAAATTAACCTGACTCCTGTCTGACTGCTGAGCGAGGCCACTTCCTGTGTCTGTCCTTTCAAATCACATTCCCACATGGTCCAGACATTTTCACAAGGCGCAGCTCTTAATAGAGTTTCATGTTTGTTTTGGGGGGGTTTTCAGCAACTAAGCAACCAATGAAATCTTGCCGACTAATGACCTCTCTGGTCAACTTTACTGGTCAAGTAAATCAAGGGTGCACAATTGTCTGTAGGGATTACATTGCAGCGTGTTTCACTGCTTCAGCTGCAGTAACACTGGACCAATTTCAAAAACTCTTGTCTCTTGTTTGTCACTTAGACAATATGCTGAATTTTCCCTTAAACAGCAGCTAAAAGAAAACCTGGTTTCTGCTGACCTTCAGTGGTTTAACTTCTCTCCTGAACTCCTTTCCAACATGAAACAGACCTCAGAGTCTTGCCTTTTACGTCACAGTGAAGGAGGGGTGGGAGAATTCAGCTGAACCGAACCTTCAAATCCAGGCCGAAACACAGGCTATTTGAGCAGAACAGGCAGTTTTTACGAGCCATGTGTTTTTGTTTAGTTTCAAAAGAATCTATGTAATTGTGTGAAATGCACAAAAAAAATATGCTAAAATTTAACATATACTGCTTCTTTGGGTGTAGAAGTTTTGCGTTGTCTACGATGTAAGATTTATTAAACTTTGGTGCAAAATCGCAGCTCTAGAAAAAAAACCTCACTCTTTGATTTGGTGTCTGTTGTTTTAGATCATTGATATATTTTCTGCTACAATATAAGTCCACTGTAGCTGCTGGAAACATCTGGATGTGACTGCCTAGTTATCCACAACCAAAATAAAAGTGCACACAAACTGTGCCAGAAATGCAACAAACACAGAATCACCACTATCTGCTTTAGTTAACAGTGTGTAAGAGTTTTCGGGTGGAGTTTCCCTTCTAATATTGTGACCATAATGCTCATGGTTCATCCCTGAGGTGACTTTGATAGGTTAATTAAATACTTTACAGCAGTGAAGGAACAGATTCACTGTGCAGCAACTCAAAACTACTGGATGCAACTTCAGTTTTGTATGTTCAGTATTTTCTCTAACACTGTTCTGTATTCAACCAAACTGGTGTTTGTTCAGTGTAGAAAAGAATGTTTTTGTGTGAACAAATATTTCATTTTGTCAACATAATTGTGGTGGACTGTGTGTGTGTGTATATCAGACTGTCTTAGCTGTGAGAAAAGACCCTGAGAGGTGTCACACTGTCAGATGTTACTGTCTTGTTAAATGCTCGTTGGATTGAAGAGGATGCAAAGATGTACTATTGATAGGAAAACTATCAGTATTTCAAATTAAAATTCCATGCTGCAATAAATTATTTTTTTAACAGTGAACTGGAGCTGTGTGTGTGGTATGTGATGTTCTTCGAAAATATCTTGTGTGGCCTGGTAGTGGTACCAGGAAACAGGCCATGTGTCTTTGATCAAGGTGATATCAGTCTTTTAAATGGAGTCATATAATCGTGATTACGAGGAGAGTTCTGAACAACCTACTGACGAGTTATTCGACACCACAAGTAAGTAGTATATATACTATACTATGACTTTCTCATCACATTTTGGACGACATACTATACTGTGACTTTTTCATGAAATGTTTGATGACATACTATACTATGATATTTTTGTCGACATACTATACTATGATATTTTTGTCGACATACTATACTATGACTTTTTCATGATATTTTTGATGACATACTATACTATGATATTTTTGTCGACATACTATACTATTACTTTTTCATGATATTTTTGTCGACATACTATACTATGACATTTTTATGACATTTTTGTCGACATACTATACTATGACTTTTTCATGAAATTTTTGATGACATGCTATACTATGACTTTTTCATCACATTTTGGACGACATACTATACTATGACTTTTTCATGAAATTTTTGATGACATACTATACTATGACTTTTTCATCACATTTTGGACGACATACTATACTATGACTTTTTCATGAAATTTTTGATGACATACTATACTATGACTTTTTCAT